CAGCCATAAACCCGAGGATGCAGCCCATCAGGTCCAGAGGATTTATCAGTTTTTAGTTCCATCAATTTCTCTAGTACTATTATTTTACTGATAATAATAATAATCCTTGCATTTGATATAGCGCTTTTCAGTCTTCTCAACGTCTCAAAGCGCTTCACAGAATAGACTGTAAAGTGAATTGACTGTATATTTGTGGGCAAAATATTAATTTCTTTAAGTTCCTCACTAACATTAGTCCCACTATTTTGGTAAATTTTTAGTATCTTCTAATGTGAAGACAGAAGCAAAATATTTGTTTAGTGACTGCCATTTCTTTATTTCCCATTATAATTTCTCCTGTCTCTGCCTGTAAAGGACCCACATTTACTTTTGTTAATCTCTTCCTCTTTATATATTGTAAAAGCTTTTACAATCTGTCTTCATATCTCCAGCTCGTTTACTCATGTTCCATTTTCTCCTTAATCAGTTTCTTGGTTATATTTTGCTGATCTCTAAAGCCCTCCCAATCCTTAGACTTACAGCTCTTGTTGGCAATATTATAGGCCTCTTTTAATTTTATACTTTCCTTAACTTCTCTAGTTAGCCATGGTTGAAGCACTTTTCCTGTGGAATTTTTATTTTTCAAGGGAACATGCATTCGCTGGGAATTATCTAATATATCTTTGAATGTTTGCCATTGCTGGTCTACCATCATATCTTTTAATCTATTTTTCCAGTCTATTTTAGCCAAATCGTCCCTCATACCTGCAAAGTTGGCTTTATTTAAGTTTAAGACACTTGTTTCGGACTTAACTCCATCACTTAATATTAAATTCCATCATATTATGTATGGTCACTCTGCCTTAACTTGAAGATTACTGATTAGCTTGCCTTCATTACAATACAAGGTCGAGGCGAGCCTGTTGCTTGGTTGTTTCCTCAGCATATTGTTCTAGAAAACTATTTCCAATGCATTCCATAAACTCATCCTCTAAGTCACTTTTGCCAATGTGGTTTTTCCAGTCTATGTGAAGATTAAAATCACCCGCTATTATTGTATTCCCCTTGCTACACGTTCCTCTAATTTCCTGATTAATACTCTGCCCAATTCTGTAACTGCTGTTCGGGGGTCTATAAACTACTCTCACCAGTGTTTTCTGCCCCACCTCCACCCAGACTGACTCTACATCCTGATTTTCTGACTTAAAATCCTTCCTCTCTCCTGTTTTTATCTCATCCTTTATTAACAGCCCCCTCCCACCCCTCGGTTTCCATATTGCCTATCTTTCCTGTACTTCAGGTACCCTGGAATGTTTAGCTCCCAACCTTGGTCTCCCTGTAACCACATCTCAGTAGTGGCCACTAGATCGTACGGATTATCTCTATTTGTGCCATTAATTAATCTATCTTGTTTCAAATGCTTCGTGCATTCAGGTTAGCGCCTTTAATTTTAACTTTTTACTATTTCCCCTACTTATTAATGCTCTATTTTTGTTGTTAAACTCTTTGTCCCTACCTGACACACTCTTTTTCATTTCCCAAGTCGCTACTCTGCTCTAGTCTTGACTTAATTGCTTTGTAAGTTTACATTTAACCGTAACCCTCCCTCCTCCACCCCCACCCCACCCTCCCTCTCTCTCACTCGCTCGCTCCCTCCTTCCGCCACTCTATCTACCTAGTTATTGGTTTTGCCAGGACACTGGTCCCAGCCCGGTTTAAGTGGAGCGCATCCCGATCAAAGAGCTCCCTCTTTCCCCAATACTGGTGTCAGTGGCTCATAAAATGAAACCCCTGCCTCCTTCACCGCTCTTTCAGCCAGTCTAACCCTTTAATCTGCTTGACCCTGTACCAATTTGTGCATGGCTCAGGAGTAATCCCGAGATATTACCTTAGAGGTTCTGCTTTTTAATTTCATCCCTAGCTCTTTAAACTCCCTCATCAGATCATCTTTACTAGCAGAATCCATGTGGTCAGTTCCTATGTGGATCACAATGGGATCCTTCCCCTCCTGCTCCAAGTTCTTCTCCAACCGTGAAGAGACATCCTTAAACCCTGACACCAGGAAGGCAACAGCCTTTGTGACTCCTGATAGTGAAGAGTATCTGTCCTCCTGACTATATCGTCCCCAACCACATTCCTTTTTGCTGCCCCCACTTGTGTGGCCTCCTGTACAGAGGTGCTGTGGTCAGTTTGCCCATCCTCTTTACAGGCTTCCTTACCCACACAGGTTGCAAGTACCTTGTACCTGTTTGACAAGGTTAAAGCCTGAGGCTCCTCCACCACTCCCTCTGGGGTCCCCTTGACCTGCCTGACTGTCAGTCACACTGTCCTGTCCCTGACCACTGACAAGATCTGTACATCTACTGAGCCTCGGGGGAGTGATTGCCTCCTGGGTCAGAGTATCCAGGTCGCTTTCCTCTTCTCTAACGCTGTGCAATGTCTACACCTCAGATTGCAGCTCAGCAGCTCTCTGCGCTGAAGCTTCTTTAGTCGCAGATGTAGCTGCCGGGGCTCAGGCTGCTCTCCTTCAACTCCCACAACACCCGCCCTGCCATTCCTCCGCCACTCACACTGACCTCACGGTCATGTCACTTATTGTTTTCCTGCAGCTCCACCGCAGCTCCTCCCCACACTGCCCTCGCTCTCCTCTCCGAATTCCTTCCTCTCTCTCTCCTGTTTTTTTCCCCCAGGTTCAGCCGTTAAGTGTGACATCCCCTGACGTCACTTGTTGTTTTCCCACTCTCTGAATTAGCGGCTGCTGACCTACACTATAGGGGGTTTATACCGCTGCTCAGCCGCAGCGCCTCCCCTTGCCAGATGATAGGGAGATATTGATGGTGTCAGAGCAGAGGGTGAGGAGGTGGAGCTGGGAGGTAAGGAGAGGGGTGGGATCAAGGGAGCAGGTGGTGTTTCAGGATGGATATGGTGGTGATGAGAGGAGGGGGAGACAGGTTCAAAGATATGGTGGGAGGGTTGGATAGGGGTCAGAGTGTGGGGGGGAGATGAGGATGGAGTGACAATTGGGAGGGCGGAGGCAGTTGATTGGATCCCCTCGATTTTGGACTCGAAGAAATCCAGCATCTCCTCACAGTCAGAGGTTGAGGAGCGAATGGGCGAGTGTGGGAGGGTGGATGGAGGAGCGGTTGGTGGTGGAGAGTAGGAGCCTGGGGATGTCCTTCGCTTCCAAGATTATCTTGGAGTTGGATGATTTGGCGGAGGCAAGGGCAGAGTGGTACATTTTGATGTGGTGTAGCCAGATCTGCCAGTGAACCGTTAGGTCAGAGTTAGGAAATAATATCTCGGGAGACAGTATATAGTTCAGGACATGACATGTGGTAGCAACTGCCAGGATGGTGGAAGGTGAACTGGATGGACCTTGGTCTTTTTTGGTCTAGCATTTCCTACGTTCCTATCATCACGGGAACTTTAAAAGTTCACCTGAATGTCTCAAGTGAAAGATAATAATAATCCTGGCATTTGATACATCGCCTTATCGCAGTTTTGAGACGTCCTCAAAGCGCTTCACAGAATATACTGTAAAGTGAATTGACTGTATTTTGAAATATACACAGCAGCCGATCGCACACAGCAGATGGCACCTTGTCAATACAGCTGGCAGTGGGGCTTGAACCCACAATCTCCTGGGCCAGGCGATCACCCGAGCCAGGCTGACACACATTCTCCATCTGTCCTCCTCTGAGCCAACATACTAACCTTTTAACTGAAGCTACTTCAAGGTCCCAGGAACTTTACAGGCTGTCCACAAGGTCCTGTTACACCCGTTACAAAACACCCACACACTAACACACACAAAAATAACACAAACACTCACTCTCACACAACTTAACACACGCAAACTACTACACACACACTGACAAACATATTCAGTTTCACATACACACTCGCTAATACACACACAAAACCCGCAAACACATACACCCCTGACCCACAGTCACACACTCACTCACACACACACAAACTAACATACAGTAACACACACACCACACACACAGACAGCCATTAAAACACTTGTAGTGAATACAATGAAGTAATTCTAAATACAATTATCATCGTCCTTCCACATGTTGTTGGTCAGTGTTGGGGGATTGTCGGCCAGGACACCGGGAGAGAAAGAGTTTGAGAGAAACTGCCTTCTCTTTTCAAAGGTCTTTAAAATCCACCTGAACAGACAGATGGTACCCTCCGTTTAACGTCTCATCTGAAGGACGGCACCTCCGCAAACCCCCACCCCCCCCACCAAGCGCTGAGTGGAGTTCTGGGCGTAGATTAGATAAGATTGGGGCAAAAAAACAAACAGTGGGAAGTGGAGGATAACCACTTTGCAGACACCCTGTAGATGGACATTCCCAGCACAGAGGTCAGGCCGCCCCACTCAGCCCCCGAGTCTCTGGGGCTGGTTTCATTGCTTCCACTCGGTCTCCTGCCCACAGGCTGAAACAGACTCAAAAACAACTGCAACAAAACCTGGGATATTTTTGTTACAAAGCTATTTATTTACAGGACCACACACAGGGTGACTTCCCCACGGGGAGAGGAGGAGGGAGTAGGCGGGAGGGTTGAGGAGCTGTGGGGGGAGGAGAGAGAGCCCCCGCCACCACGACTCACTGAGTGACACCTAAAGTAGCTTCACCAATTCTACCTGAAGCAAAGGAAGGGCTGTGCCCTGAAGGGGTCATGTTTATGCTCGATAAACAGGGTCTAAAATGTGGGTTGGGAGGGTAGCCTATGGGCTAATTCCACGCAGAACCCACACAGGTGCCTTCAATTAGAATACATGTAGCGCCTTATTGCGTCTTCGAGACGTCTCAAAGCACTTCACAGGATACACTGTAAAGTGAATTGACTGTGTATTTTGTGGGTGAAACGTAGCAGCCAATTGCGCACAGCAGTGAGTGTCTCACAGGCAATCGTGGATTGAAGTGACCAATTTTTGTAAGGGGATTATTACCCCAGGAAAAGTGATCCACTAATTACCTAACAACCATGTTCCTACTGACTGTCGATAAACAGAGGTGTGTGCGTCTGTGTCTGTGTGTGGAGTAAGGAAACTTTAACGTTTCTCCCAACCCAGGACTCAAACCCAGGTCCTCTCGCTCGTGAGGTGAGCGCTCTAACCACTGAGCTCTCCCCCACTTCCCTCCCCCAGGCTCTGCTCAACTCAGCGCCTGGCTGGTTTGGGCATCAGGTAGACCTTGACGGGTTTGCTGAGGTTGATGGTGCCCTCGATGGTGGTGTCTGTCTGGGGGAGTCCGTCCACACTGTCCCCCCAGGCCGGCCTGGCCCCAGCCCCTCCCCGGCTGCCGCTTGCACTGTACGCCAACAACAGTCGCACCTCCACCTGGCAGGGCTCTGTGGGGAGTGGGAGATAGAGAGCGAGAGACAGAGAAAGAGAGAGAGAGAGAGACACACAGAGAGAGGGAGACAGAAAGAGAGACAGAGCGAGAGACAGAGGCAGAGAGAGAGAGAGAGACATTGAGAGAGAGACAGTGAGGCAAGAGATAGAAAGACAGAGAGAGGAAGACAGAGAGAGAGGTAGAGAAACAGATAGAGAGACAGAGACAGAGAGACACAGACAGAGAAAGAGAGAAACAGCGAGAGAGGGAGAGAGAGAGGCAGAGAGAGGACAGAGAGAGAGATAGAGCTCCAATTATTACACTACCCAACAAAGCAAAACACAACCACACATCACAAGTCATCATAATAATAATCCCTGCATTTGATATAGTGCCTTATCACGTTGTTGGGACCTTTCAAAGCGATTCACAGATTATACTGTAAAGTGTAGCGACTGTGTATTTTGTGGGCAAAATCCGGTAACCAATTGTGCACAGGGATGTCCCACGCACAGTCAATTGCTTTTGGGGAGGAGGGATTACTATTTCTGGAAAGTGATCCGCTAGTCAACTAACAGTCGGATAGAATATAATAATTGGTCCATTTTATACAACCTCTATATCATCAAAAAGACTTAATACGCCTCACGTGAGATTTGTTTTAGTCTGGAACAAGTGGAAACCCGTCACCGTGACCAGCCGGGTAACAGAAACCCGTCACCGTGACCGGTCGGGTGTCTGACACACACGGAAACCCGTCACTGTGACCGGTCGGGTGTCTGACACACACGGAAACCCGTCACTGTGACCGGTCGGGTGTCTGACACACACGGAAACCCATCACCGTGACCGGCCGGGTGTCTGACACACACGGAAACCCGTCACCGTGACCGGCCGGGTGTCTGTCACACACGGAAACCCGTCACCGTGACCGGCCGGGTGTCTGACACACACGGAAACCCGTCACCGTGACCGGCCGGGTGTCTGACACACACGGAAACCCGTCACCGTGACCGGCCGGGTGTCTGTCACACACGGAAACCCGTCACCGTGACCGGCCGGGTGTCTGTCACACACGGAAACCCGTCACCGTGACCGGCCGGGTGTCTGACACACACGGAAACCCGTCACCGTGACCGGTCGGGTGTCTGACACACACGGAAACCCGTCACCGTGACCGGCCGGGTATCTGACACACACGGAAACCCATTAAGATGCTTCAGAGTCTCCAAACCAAACAGAGTTCTAGATATGTATCCCCTATACGCGGAAGTCTCCCTGTGTCTGGGATGGAATGCTCTCTCTCTCTCTCGTAATCACATAGTATTAGGTGCAGGTTGGGCGAGACCCAAGGCTTGGGGGGAGCCCAGAGTGTGCGTTGGGGTAACTGCTGGGGTCTAACCAGCTAAACCCACATTGAGAGCACCGTCAAAACATGTGTTCAGACGCTTTAGAGTCGAGCTACATTTTTCACACAGAAAGGTCCCACAAATAGTTTAGGGAGATTGATAGCCAGGACAGTGGGAGAGAGAGAGAGACTCCATTCTCTGTTCTCTGTTAACATCCCAAACATGGGATTGATTGCTCCTCTGACCATGTGGTGCTCACCCCAACAGTGACCTGGGGGGGTCAGTCTGGGCTGTGAGCTTAGGGACCCCACAACCTTTTGTTGCGTTTCTGACCCTTTCCTCTGAGGCTGTGAATTCACCGCTTGTCATCTCCTCCTCCTTCTCCTCTTCTCCCCGTGTGAAGTGAGTGAGTGAGTGAGTGAGTGCGGACAGAGTCAGTTACCTGTCCAGGCTGTGTGAGAGAGATAGACCTCGGTAATCAATCGGTGTCTGCCGGGCCCAGGATTGCGGAAATCGGACGCTTTGGGATGGATTATGTGGGCCTGGCCGTCGGGATACACAACCTGCAGAGATAATAATAATCATAATAATCCCCGCGTCTGATACAGCGGCTTCATCACGTCGGTGAGACGTCTCAAAGCGCCTCACAGGATATACTTATTTTGTGGGTGAAATTTTTGTGGGCGAGAAGAGGTTTCAGACACACCCTCAGGATGGGGCCAGGAATAAGGGATGTGTGTGTGTGTGGTGGGGGTGGGGAGGGTGGGGAGAAGGAGAACCTTCACCAGGGATGTTAGAGGAGGGGTGTTGTGGAATTGGAGGGCAAGATGGGAGATTATTCACAAGGCTGGGAGGTGGTGGGGGGGGCAGCCACAGGAGACGGTCAGTGGGGTACTCACTGGACCTGTTGGTCTCCCCAACTCCTCCCTTCATAGGCTGCAGATCATCCAGAACTAACTCTGCAGCCCATGTCCTCTCCCCCACCCCATCACCCCCATCCTCACCCCCACCAGGCTCCCCGACCCCATCACCCCATCCTCACCCCCACCAGGCTCCCCGACCCCATCACCCCCATCCTCACCCCCACCAGGCTCCCCGACCCCATCACCCCCATCCTCACCCCCACCAGGCTCCCCGACCCCATCACCCCATCCTCAACCCCACCAGGCTCCCCGACCCCATCACCCCCATCCTCACCCCCACCAGGCTCCCCGACCCCATCACCCCCATCCTCACCCCCACCAGGCTCCCCGACCCCATCACCCCCATCCTCACCCCCACCAGGCTCCCCGACCCCATCACCCCCATCCTCACCCCCACCAGGCTCCCCGACCCCATCACCCCCATCCTCACCCCCACCAGGCTCCCCAACCCCATCACCCCCATCCTCACCCCCACCAGGCTCCCCGACCCCATCACCCCCATCCTCGCCCCCACCAGGCGCCACGACCCCATCACCCCCATTCTCGCCCCCACCAGGCTCCCAGACCCCATCCTCACCCCCACCAGGCTCCCCAACCCCATCACCCCCATCCTCACCCCCACCAGGCTCCCCGACCCCATCACCCCCATCCTCACCCCCACCAGGCTCCCCAACCCCATCACCCCCATCCTCACCCCCACCAGGCTCCCCGACCCCATCACCCCCATCCTCGCCCCCACCAGGCGCCACGACCCATCACCCCCATTCTCGCCCTACTCCGCTGGCTTCCTATACCCAGAGGACACAGTCCAAGATCCTGGTCCTCACCTTCAAACCCCCCCCCATGGCCTCGCTCCCCCCAACCTCTGCCACGTCCTAACCCCCTACCATTCTGCTCGCTCTCTCGACTCAGCGGGCTCTGGCCGCCTCGCTCGCCCCACTATTGGTGGGGGGGCCTTCAGCCACTCTGCCCCCACCCTCTGGAACTCCATCCCACAGTTCCTCCGCCTCTCCCCTCCCTCGCCATCTTCAAGACCCATCTCAAGACCCTCCTCTTTGACAGGTCACCCTCCTACCTCTGCCCTGCCCGCTTTGATCCCAACCCCCAGCTCGGGAGTGGATCCCTGACTGTCCAGCGCCTTGGGAAGTCGTCCTGATGTGAAAGCGCTGTGTGTAAGTGGCATTTGTTGTTGTTGTACGCTCAGCGCTGCTCACCTGCACCTTGATGGAGTTGGGGGGGTCACTCACGTGCTGTAGTGTGGCATCCAGCTCCAGCACAGCCACCAGCCCTGTGGTGAACCGCAGAGGATTGTCAGACTCTCCCGTGGGCTCGATGATGGTGGCTGACGCCCGGTGAACCTACAACACACCAGGACCAGCAGGTCATCCACCAACTCTTCCCTCCCCTCACCCCACCCCCCGCCCCCACTGGGCAGCTCCACCAACACCAGCACAGGAAGCACAGGGGGAACCTCTGAGGGCAAGTGGCGCAACTGTGTGTCTGTCCCCTAGTGTAATAATAATAATAACCCTTCAGATAGCTCCTTATCATGTCATTGAGGTATCTCAAAGCGCGTCACACAGTATATTTAAAGTGTAGTGACTTTGAATATTGTGGCAGAACATGACAGTCAATTATACACAGCGGTGAGTGTCCCACAAACAGTCGTAGATTCAGTGAACACATTGTTGTGGGGGATTATTACTCATTGAAAAAAGATCTGCTAATCAGGTTCCAATTGACCCCTGATAAACAAAAGTGTGTGTCTGTGTGTGTGTCTGTGTGGGTGTCTATGTGGGTGTATGCATCTGTCTGTGTGTCTATGTGTGTGTGTATTGTCTGTGTGTGTGTCTGTGTGTGTGTATATGCAGAGTAAGGAAACTTACCTTAGGTTCCCAATTGCCCGGGAATTGAACCCGGATCCTCTCGCTTGTGAGGCGATGTCTAACCACTGAGCTACAGTACATTGCTGCAGCAGCTGTGTACAGGTGGCTGGGGAGGACCAGGGAGTTACTGGGGCCCAGGGGAGACAACAACAACTTGCAGTGTCTCGCAGCGCTTCCCAGGGCTGAGCTGTGAGGCTGAGCCGGGGAGGAAACGACCGTAAACACGGTGGAAGAGGAAGGTAATCTAAAACAGGGGAAGGAGGGGAAGGCGGAGGGATTGGGGCAGTGAGTTGCAAAGCTTTGGGGCGTACGTGCCACCAAATGTCGAGCAGAGGGGGACAACAACAACAACAACTTGCATTTATATAATGGCTTCACACGGGGTAACGTCCCGGAGAGTTTCACAGTGACGGAGTCTGACCCCGAGCCAAGGAGAGCGGGGAGGGGGGAGGGGGGAGGGGGAGGAGGGTGACTGTGAGCACCAGCAACAAGGCAGGATGTGAAGGTGGGGAGAGGGGGGTGAGGCGGAGGGATTGAGGGAGAGAGTGACAGAGTTTCTGGGTGTTGTGGCTGAAGTCACGGCCACTGATGGTGGAACAGAGGGAACAACAGGAGGCCTGAGCCGGCTGAGCGGAGGCAGTGGGTGGTGTGTATGGGGGGGAGCAGGTCGGGGGGGTAGGGAGGTGCCAGGGCGAGGTGCCAGGGCGAGGTGCCAGGGCGAGGTGCCAGGGCTCAGGGACGAGCGGGAAGCCGGGGCCGGCCGAGCGGGTACGTGACTGACCTGCTCTGGGAGCTGGAGGTGCAGGAAGGCGCTCTGCCGCAGGGTGGTCTGCAGGATCTTCACCATCTCGGTGGGTTTACAGGCCACGAGCCGCGGCATCACATCCAACAGCCGCTCCACAAACCCCCCCTGTAACTGCTGCAGCTCCACAGCAAAACACCTGGGGAGGAGCACAGCAACAGCCATCACACACACACACACACAGGCGCACACACACACACATACACACACACAGGCACTCACACACACACAGGCTCTCACACACACACACAGGCTCACACACACACACAGGCTCACACACACACACAGGCTCACACACACACACAGGCTCACACACACACACAGGCTCACACACACACACAGGCTCACACACACACACACACACAGGCTCACACACACACAGGCTCACACACACACACACACACAGGCTCTCACACACACACACACAGGCTCACACACACACAGGCTCACACACACACACACGCACACACACACAGGCTCACACACACACACAGGCTCACACACACAGGCTCACACACACACACAGGCTCACACACACACACACACAGGCTCACACACCACACACACACACAGGCTCACACACACACACACACACACACACACACAGGCTCACACACACACACAGGCTCACACACACACACACAGGCTCACACACACAGGCTCACACACACACACACACAGACACACAGGTTCACACACACAGGCACACACCGGCTCACACACAGGCTAACACACACACACACAGGCTCACACACACACACACAGGCTCACACACACACAGGCTCACACATACACACAGGCTCACACATACACACAGGCTCACACACACACACACAGGCTCTCACACACACAGGCTCACACACACACAGGCTCACACACACACAGGCTCTCTCACACACACACACACAGGCTCACACACACACACACAGGCTCACACACACAGGCTCACACACACACAGGCTCACACACACACACACAGGCTCACACACACACACAGGCTCACACACACACACACACTCACACACACAGGCTCACACACACACACACACACACACACACACACACACAGGTTCACACACACAGGCACACACACACAGGCTCACACACACACCGGCTCACACACAGGCTCACACACACACAGGCTCACACACACACACAGGCTCTCACACACACACACACACAGGCTAACACACACACACACAGGCTCACACACACACACACACAGGCTCACACATACACACAGGCTCACACACACATACACACACACACACAGACTCACACACAAAGGCTCACATGCACACACACACACATACACAAACCCACACACACAGGCTCACACACACACAGGCTCACACACACACACACAGGCTCACACACACACACACACAGGCTCACACACACACACACAGGCTCACACACACAGGCTCACACACACACACACAGGCTCACACACACACACAGGCTCACACACACACACACAGGCTCACACACACAGGCTCACACACACACACACACACATACACACAGACACACAGGTTCACACACACAGGCACACACACACAGGCTCACACACACACCCACACAGGCTCACACACATACACACTCACACACACACACAGGCTCTCACACACACACACACACAGGCTCACACACACACACACAAAGGCTCACACACACGCACACACGCTCACATACACAGGCTCACACACACACACACACACACAGGCTCACACACACACACACACACACAGACTCACACACACACACACACACACAGGTTCACACACACAGGCACACACACACAGGCTCACACACACACCGGCTCACACACACACACACAGGCTCATACACACACACACACAGGCTCTCACACACACACACAGGTTCACACACACAGGCTCACACACACACACACAGGTTCACACACACAGGCACACACACACAGGCTCACACACACACCGGCTCACACACACACCGGCTCACACACACACCGGCTCACACACACACCGGCTCACACACACACACAGGCTCTCACACACACACACAGGCTAACACACACAGGCTCACACACACACACAGGCTCACACACATACACACACAGGCTCACACACACACAGGCTCACACACACACACACAGGCTCACACACACAGGCTCTCACACACACACACAGGCTAACACACACACAGGCTCACACACACACACAGGCTCACACACATACACACACAGGCTCTCTCACACACACACCGGCTCTCTCACACACACACACAAACACCGGCTCACACACACACGGGCTCACACACATACACACTCAGGCTCACACACACAGGTTCACACACACACACAGGCTCACACACACAGGTTCACACACACACACAGGCTCACACACACACACAGGCTCACACACACAGGTTCACACACACACACAGGCTCACACACACTCACACAGGCTCACACACACACACACAGAACAGGCTCACACACACACGGGCTCACACACACAGGCTCACACACACACAGGCTGACACACACACACTGGCACTCACACACACAGGCACTTACACACTCATACACACACAGGCACTCACACACACACAGGCTCACACACACACCGGCTCACACACAGGCTCACACACATACACACACAGGCTCACACACACACAGGCTCACACACACACACACACAGGCTCACACACACACAGGCTCACACACACACACACACAGCCCCACAAACACACACACTGGCACTCACACACACACAGACACACACACACCCACACACACACCCCCCACACACACACAGGCACTCACACACACACACAGGCTCACACACACACATGCGCACACACACACACAGGCTCACACACAGGCTCACACACACACACAGGCTCACACACAGGCTCACACACACACACAGGCTCACACACACACAGGCTCACACACACATAGGCTCACACACACACACACAGGTTCACACACACACACACAGGCTCTCTCACACACACACACACACACGGGCTCACACACACACGGGCTCACACACATACACACACAGGCTCTCACACACACAGGCTCTCTCACACACACACACACAGGCTAACACACACAGGCTCACACACACAAACAGGCTCACACACATACACACACAGGCTAACACACACAGGCTCACACACACACACACAGGCTCACACACACAGGCTCTCACACACACACACAGGCTCACACACACACACAGGCTCACACACACAGGTTCACACACACACAGGCTCACACACACTCACACAGGCTAACACACACACACACAGAACAGGCTCACACACACACGGGCTCACACACATACACACACAGGCTAACACACACACACACACAGGCTCACACACACACAGGCTGACACACACACACTGGCACTCACACACACAGGCACTCACACACACACACACAGGCACTTACACACTCATACACACACAGGCACTCACACACTCACAGGCACTCACACACACACAGGCACTCACACAAACACAGGCACTCATACACACACACACAGGCACTCACAAAAATACAGGCATTCACACACACTGTGAATTGGAGGGGTTTGAGAAGGGAGTGGCGGAGAGGAAGGAGTGAAGCTGAGAAGCAACAACTCGTTCCAGGAGAGGAAGGGGAGGTTGGAGATGGGATGGTAGTTAGGGAGTAGAGAAGGGTCCAGGGAGGGCTTTTTAAGGATAGGAGTGATGACAGCAGTTTTTAATGGGATGGGAACAGTACCAGAGGACAGGGAGAGGTTACAATGTCAGTGAGTAGAGGGGCAAGGAGGTGGAGCTGAGAGGTGAGGAGAGGGGTAGGGATGGGGTCGAGGGAGCAGGTGGTCGGTTTCAAGCGTATTATAGTGATGGTGAGAGAGGAGAGGAGACAGGCTCGAAGGTGTGGAGAGAGGGGTGGGTAGGGGCCGGGGTGAGAGGTGGAGATGGGGAGGGGGTAACAGACAGAAGGGCAGAGGCAGCTGAGTGGATTCCCTCGACTTTGGATTCGATGAAGTCCAGCATCGCCTCACAGGCAGGCAGCCCACATCACACACACAGCACACACATCACACAGGCACTCACACACATACAGCAACCCACAGCACTCATACACCACACACTCATCAACACACACACAAACAGCCACACACCACACACACAGAGGCAGCCACACACACACACACACCCCTACCTACATAATAATAATAATCCTTGCATTTGATACAGCGCCTTATCATGTTGTTGAGACGTCTCAAAGCACTTCATGGCACACGCTGTAAAGTGTTTTGACTGTGTGTTTGATGGGTGAGATGAGGAATAATGAGCTGGTTACCTTGTGAATGCCTCGAGCTCCTGGAGGAACTTCTCACACATGTTCAGGAGGATTTCCATGCTGGGGGCAGAACAGACACAATGAAGTGAGGGCATCTTCCACAAACACTGCCCCACAGAGCCCTGGCATCATCACCCCCATCACTCCTCACTCCGTAAATGATTACACATGTACAGGGTGGCACAACGTCAAAACATCTCAACACTTCAGAGGAAAGGTCACCAACAAGTGCAACTGTGCTCACACACCACACACACACACCACACACACACACCACTCACACCACACAAACACCACTCACACCACACACACACCACTCACACCACACACACACCAGTCATACACCACACACACACCGCACACACACATACCACACTGATACACACCACTCCCAACACACACACACACCACTCACACCACACATACACTACTCACACACACTACACACACCACTCACACACCACATCACTCACACAAAATACACACCCCACACACACTACACACACACCAACTCCACACACCACACACACACACACCACATACACACCATACACCCCACATACACACTCCACACACACACACCACATGCACACATCACACACCCCCCCCACACACACCACACATCCCACACACACACCACATATCACACACACATTCCACACACACCGCATACCCCACACACACCACACACACACATCACACACCCCACACACACCACACACCACACACACACCCCACACATACACCACGCACACACCCCACCGCTCCTGGCCTCACCCTCTGGTGGTGCAAGCGCTCAGGATGAGCTGCAAGGCTTTAGCCTGGAGCCGCACGTGGTGAATGATAACGAGCTGCCGGCTCTCCAGCCCACTGTACAGGAACTCCAGCTCGTATGTGTAGGCCAGGACCTGGCGGGACAGAGAGAGAGAGAGAGTTAGGCTGCGAGTGACAGAGAGAGAGAGAGTGACAGTGAGTCAGGATTGGGGGGTAGAGAGAGAGTGAGTCAGGACGGGGGTGGGGGGGGGTAGAGAGAGTGAGTCAGGACGGGGGGGTAGAGAGAGTGAGTCAGGACGGGGGTGGGGGGGGTAGAGAGAGTGAGTCAGGACGGGGGTAGAGAGAGTGAGTCAGGACGGGGGTGGGGGGGTAGAGAGAGTGAGTCAGGACGGGGGTGGGGGGTAGAGAGAGTGAGTCAGGACGGGGGGTAGAGAGAGTGAGTCAGGACGGGGGTGGGGGGGTAGAGAGAGTGAGTCAGGACGGGGGTGGGGGGGTAGAGAGAGTGAGTCAGGACGGGGGGTAGAGAGAGTGAATCAGGACGGGGGTGGGGGGGTAGAGAGAGTGAGTCAGGACGGGGGGGTAGAGAGAGTGAGTCAGGACGGGGGTGGGGGGGGTAGAGAGAGTGAGTCAGGACGGGGGTGGGGGTAGAGAGAGTGAGTCAGGACGGGGGGTAGAGAGAGTGAATCAGGACGGGGGTGGGGGGGTAGAGAGAGTGAGTCAGAACGGGGGTGGGGGGGTAGAGAGAGTGAGTCAGGACGGGGGTGGGGGGGTAGAGAGAGTGAGTCAGGACGGGGGTTAGAGAGAGTGAATCAGGATGGGGGGTGTAGAGAGAGAGTCAGGACTGGGTGGGGCAGAGAGAGTCAGGATAATAATAATAATCCTTAATAATAATCCTTCCATTTGATATAGCGCTTTTCACGTCCTTTATACTGTAAAGTGAATTGACTGTATATTTGTGGGCGAACACGGCAGCCAATTGCGCACAGCAGTGTCCCACAATTGTTTTTGGTTTTGGAGGGATTATTATTAGGTTTGTGGAGTAAGCAAACTTGCCCAAGGTTTTGCCCTCTGCCTGGAAATGAACTCAGGTCTCTTCGCTTGCAAAGCGAGTGCTCTAACCACTGAGCTACAGGACTCCACGGGGGGTAGAGAGAGAGTCAGGGTGGGGGGGTAGAGAGAAAGTCAGGACGGGGGGGGGGGGGTAGAGAGAAAGAGAGAGTCAGGATAGGAGGGTAGAGAGAGAGAGAAAGTCAGGATGGGGGGGGGAAGAGAGTCAGGATGGGGGGGGTAGAGAGAGAGATTCAGGACGGGGTGGCGGGGTGGAGGAGCGTCAGAGAGACAAACAAAAGGAACAAAATCAAATGACATTTGCACATCAGGAGGACGTCCTGAGGCGCTGGACAGTCAGGGATTTGGACCTGAGCTGGGGTTCGGGGTCAGGAGGGTGGAGGGCACGGGGGGATTGCAAGGATGACCGAAGGCGCCATCGGGGAGGAGAGTCTCAAACAACAACATTGCATTTGTACAGTGCCTTGAACAGGCTTTGGACATGGCAAGGGAAGGGAGCAGTTCCAGAGGGTGGGGGCAGAAAGGCTGAAGGCCTGACCGCTGAGGGTGGGGTGGGCCGGGCTGGGCCGGGCTGGGCGGGGCGGGGGACGTGGAGCAGGCCGAAGCCCGCTGGGCGTAGGGAACAGACACACAAGAACTTGAGATTACACAGCGTTGTCCCGAAGTGAGTCACTGCGGCGAAGCTGGACTCCGAGCCGGGGGGAGCACAGGCGAAGAGCAAGGTCTTCATGTGTGATCTAAACGAGGGGAAGGAGTGGGCAAGGCGGAGGGTGTGAGGGAGCGAGTTCCAAAGCTTCGGGGCGTGGTGTCTGATGGTGGAGCGGAGGGGACGAGGGACGAGTAGAGCAAACAGCAGACACTGTGTCAGGATTTAGGGGGAGAGGAGTGCAGTGATGGTCTATCAGGACCTGTGGGCAAATTATGAGTGACAAAGCCTCTGTGGGAAGCACGAGGTAACGGATCCAATGTAAACCTCTCTCTCCCTCACCCTCAGCTTTGGTGAATAAACCCAAACTCTCAGCCTCTCATCCCTGCCAATCCCCCAGTGAGCGCCCGCTGCCCCCTTTCCGTTGTTACAATAACAACAACAATAATCCTTGCATTTGATACAGCGCCTCATCATGTCTCAAAGCACCTCACAAGATAGGCTGTAAAGTGTAGTGACTGTCTATTTTGTAAAAGAAACACAGCAGCCAATTACACACAGCCACATCAAACGCACGGATTATTATTCTTATTACTATCAAGTGGAAGTGACAAGTTAAGCCAGGGTCGAGTTGTGGGAAGGCAGCGAGACGAGACCTCGCAGGGGGTCCAGTGACAATACACAGTGAAGCAGGTACTGTGCGAGCAGGGCAGGGCGGGGCGGGGCGGGGCAGGGCATCTGTGGCTCACCTGTTTGGCAGCGGCTGACGCCATAGCGTTCTGCTTCAGGTAGAGCGGAGCTGCCACGTTCCACAGCTTCTCCTGTAGCGACTGTGGGGAAAGATCAGCTCAGGACAATAACAATAACAACAATAACAACAACAATAACAATAATAACAATAACAACAATAATAACAATACCAATAATAATACCAATAATAACATACTGCAACAATAACAACAATAATATTAACAATAATAACAACAATAATACTTGCAGGGGTCTGGTGACAATACAGAGATAACCAACACACTCACCTTCATGAGCAGGAGCTGGCACTGCAGGTAGGTGGCAGAGAATTCAGCAATCCCTGCCAGCTCCGGCTGCAGCTCTCCCAGTCTCTGCAAGTCCCTGTGTGAGAGAGCGAGAAAGGCAACATGGAATACATTCTTAATAATAATAATCCTTGCATTTGGTACAGCGCCTGATCACATCGTTGAGACGTCTCAAAGCGCACGTAAAGATACACGTAAAGTGAATTGACTTTTATGGAGGAATCGCAGCAGCCAATTGCACTCAGTAGTGAGTGTCCCACAAAAGGCCTCAAAGTGAGTAACCAATTTTATTTAGTTATTTTTGAAGGGAAACTAACAATAATCCCTTATTTATTTACAGCAAATTTACATTGACATTTACATTTACAACACAGAGGAAGGCCATTTGGTCCATTGCATCTGTTGATTTTTGGGACGTCCTCCCGACGTGAAAGGCGCTCAATAAATGGAATCTTGTTGTTGTTGTTGTTGTTGATTTTTAAGAGCGATCCTTTCAGTCCCATTTACCTGTCCTTTCCCCACAGTACAACAACTTGTATTTCCTTCACACTAGACGGTGTCTCAGAGAACTTAGTACTGGGAGATACTGCCACTTGAAGTCTGAAGTCACCGCCTCTTCAGGATCATAGAATTATACAGCACAGAAGGAGGCCCTACGAGCCATCGTGTCTGTGCCAACACGATGGGCCGAATGGGACGTTAAAGATCGTCGTTCGTCGATAAGAGAAGGGATTTTCTCCCTCTCTCCCTGGACAACAATCCACCAAATAAAATCACTCCCTCCATGGCTATTTGCGGTAAGTCACTGAGCATAAATCGGATACCACGTTTTGCCAACAAAACACACAGTCACTACAGTCTACAGTCTACAACAATAAATTACATAGAGAAACAGCCTTTCACGTTGGAAAGATGTTCAAGGTGCTGGATAGTTAAAGGTTTGCAACCGAGCCGGGGATTGGAATCAAGAGGGTTGGAGAGTAGTGGGGGGATGGGAGTGGGGGGATGGGAGTGGGGGTGTGGGAGTGGGAGTGGGGGGTGTGACTGGGGGGTGTGAGTGAGGGGGTGGGAGTGGGGGTTGGGAGTGGGGCCGAAGACACGGTCACAGAGGAAGGTATTGAGATGGCCTTTGAAGGAGACCCGGGAGGGGACAAGGCAGAGGGACTCAGAGTTGCAGACGGTGGGAGAGTAAACCTGAAGGCCAGACTGGCAATAGTGGGGTGGGCAGGGCAGGGGTAAGTCAGTGCCCACCGAGCGGCAAAGCGGACAGGTTGGTAGGGTATCATAGTCTAACCTGGAAGCACTTTGAGACGTCTCAACGACGTGATGAGGCAAGGATTATACTTTTTATTATTATTATGAATTATTATTATTATTATATTGAGTGCTCCACCACATGACCATATGTGAAGGGTACCACGGAAATGAAAGGTGTTGTTGGCCAGAAGGTTTGTTGTTTAGCGGGCGGTGAAGATGCCTCTTGCCTACCGTGTGGTGAGTTTCAGGAGGTCCTGGGACCCGTGTGCATCCAGGTGCTGAATGCTTTGAACTCGGTCCAGGCTCTTCTGTACAAACTGCCGAGAGGAGTCCTCACTCAGAGCCAGGCTGCTGGAATCCGACACCAAGGTCTTTCTCCCGGCAACTGGAGGAAACCGCAGAGAAACTGGATTATTAAACCCCGGCCAACACAGCAGTTAGCTAACCTGCCCCTGTTCTCAAATCACACTGCAGGAATGCTCAGCGAGTTACGAGAGCTATTGGACACCAGGTACTGGTCTAATCCCATTCCCCTGCGCTTTCAACCCCTCATTGTGTCTGTGCTGGGGCTCGCTCCCCACTGGAGCTCTCTACACTAATCCTATTCCCTGCTCTCTCTCTCCCCATAGTGTCTGTGCTGGGGCTCTCTCCCCCACTGACGCTATGGCTGTTCCCAGATGCTCCACACATTGAACACAACCTAATTTTTCTTCAAACAGGATAAATCTCATCCAGGCCACTCACTAGCTATTTTGGGAGCTATATTAACAAGCACTGGAGCTGGGCCAAGAGTTTTTGGTGCTGGTGTGTGGGTTTAAGTGATTAGATGGGCTTCAGAAGAGAAAGGACTGGTAAGGAATGACTGATCAGGACAAGAAGTCAAATGGATGGTCACGGACATTGCAAAACAATCCCAGGAGGACAAACTGAGGAATGTGAGGGGAACAAAGCAACAATTCAAACACTGCAAACAGGGAAGGGCATGACATTCCCTCAGGAAGCACATGGAATAAAAAACTTCAGGATTACACGAATGGACAGTCAAACGATCATTGGGTGACTAGACACTAGGGTTAAACCAGTCACTGGAGCTTAGTGTTTAAAGCTTCCTCCAAAGAACAGGATGATACTAGGGTTAAGATTCTACGATTCTGTTCCACGGAAATGAAAATGTGCAGGGCTATGGGGTAAGAGCATGGGAGGGGATTAGTTGGTGCTCTTTCAAAGAGCCGGCACAGGCATGATGGGCCTCCTTGTGCTGTAATATTCTATGATTCTACAAATGATGCCTCTGACATTGAGCACTTCTCCTGCTGGAGTGTCAGCCAGGACTGTGAGCTCAGCTTAATGAGAGGCCTTTGTACACTGACCATGTTGTTCTTGTCCCTGAAACTCTGGAACTCTCTCCCTCAATCCCTCAGCCTTGCCCCCTCACTTACCCAACTTCAAATCCCACCTAAAGACTTTCCTTTTTGATCATGCATACGGTCACCTCCCCCCTCCCTCTCCCCTTGGCTCAGGATTCCCATATTAAGAGCGCTATATAAATACAAGTTGTTGGCTTCCAAGAACGCCAGGCACCTGGGGTGAAAGGTCAGGGGAGGGTTAAATAGAATGAGCTGCCGCGGCCCTCACTGACCTGCAGCGGGGGCACCAGGTGAGAGAGGCTGTCCCGCAGGTAGGCGTAGTGCCGAAACGTGTGGTCGGAGAAGAGCGCGGACATGGTGGGGCAAGTCTTGGCTGCGTTGAACACCAGCACCAACACCGCGATATCTGAGGCAAGGTTAAGCCACGCAACATCTAACAAGATTAAATAAAATGGAGTCCTGTAGCTCAGTGGTTAGAGCACTCGCCTCGCAAGCGAGAGGACCTGGGTTCGATTCCCGGGCAGTAGAGTGAAACATTGGATAAGTTTCCCTGCTACACACACGCAAACAGACCTCTATTTACCAAGCAGTTGTTTGGGCAAATCACTTTTCCCGGGGTAATAATTCCATCAAAAAAAATTTGGTCACTTCAATCCATGACTGTCTGTGGGACACTCACTGCTGTGTGCAATTGGCTGTCGCAATTTCGCCCACAAAAAATACAGTCAATTCACAGTATATTTTGTGAAGCGCTTTGAGACGTCTAGAAAATCTGATAAGGCGCTGTGTCAAATGCAAGGATTATTATTAATAAAACTACCACGAGTGAGTGTACACACACCAATGGCCACCCAGTGTGTATGCGCCTGGGAGCAGTTGGTGAAGAGGTGTGTGAAAGGACGGCAGCAAATGTGGTCTCTTTAGTGCTGAGTTAGTTTCAAACTGCCGGGGAGGGAGGGAGGGAGGGAGGGACAACCCTCATTTCAGAGAAACGGAAACCAGACATCTGTAGAGTTTGGAGACACAACAACAATAATAATAACAATCTTTGCATTTGATGTAGTGTCTTATCATGTCTTCGAGGCGTCTCAAAGTGCTTCACAGAATATACTGTAAAGTAAACTGACTATATTTTGTGAGCGAAATGCGGCAGCCAATTGCGCACAGCAGCGTCCCACAAACAGCCGTGGGTTGAGTGATCAATATCCTCGGAAAAGCAATCCGCCAATCGACCAACAACCGGGTCCCTACTGACCGCTGGTAACCAGAGGCCTGTGTGTGCGGAGTTAGGAAACTTGCCTAAGGTTTCACCCTGACCTGTCTGGGAATTGAACCCAGGTCCTCTCGCTTGCAAGGCAAGCGCGGAAACCCGAGCTGCAGTACTGCACAATCCGCAAGATGGCAACTCCAGCAATGCAGCGCTCTCACCCGGCACCCCCCACAACTCCACCAGCACTGCATTGCAGCGAGCGTCAGCCTGGTCTGTCTGTGAGTTCAAAGTCCCCACGTGGAGGCTGGAACCCACCCAGTGAGCCAGGCTGAGGCCAGACTGACACGGCAAGGATACAGGCTGGGTCGTCCATGTCTGGCTCTGGAGTATCGAAGTACGGGTGTGTGCTCAGCAACTCGGGTACGAGGGGGAGAACCAGGGTCGGGTGCCGGCTCCCAAGGTACTTGAGGCATCTTGAGAGAGAGGAAGAGAGAGAGAGAGAAGCGATTAACACGGGTTCCCTCGAGGGTGCAAACCATCCCAAAGACAACAGCAGCTGAACAGATAGATAGCTCTCTATCTAGTTCATAACAATAACAATAATAACAATAACAGTAATGACAATAATTCTGGCATTTGATGCAGAGCCTTATCACGTCTTCTAGACTTCTCAAAGCGTTTCACAGAATATACTGCAAAGTGAATTGACTGTATATCTTTTTGGGTGAAACACGGCAGCCAATTGCTCACAGCAGTGAGTGTCCCACAGGCAGTCATGGAGTGAAGTGATCAAATTATTATTATTATTTTTAAGGGGATTATTGCTCCCAGAAAGTGATCCGCGATTCGACTAACAACCGGGTTCCTATTGATTGCTGCTGAAGCCTGTGGAGTAAGGAAACTAGTCTAAGGTTTTGGGAATTGAACCCCGATCCTCTCGCTTGCAAGGCGAGTGCTCTAACCACTACACTACAGGATTTCAGTATTGCTGGCAGGTGTAGTGACTGTGCATTTTGTAGGCAAAACTACCCCTCCCATGACAGAGGCATTAAATCCCTGGAACCCTATTCTGGCAAAGCAAAGTTAGAAGATTTTAGAACAAATCACATTGACCCCCCCACTGCTCCGAGCCGAGACTCACTTCCAGATGGAATTCCTGTCGTCGGATACTTGGCCAGGTTTTTCAGCAGCTCCACAAGCGCCAGGTGGATGCCGTCCTTGGTGGACACGTTGGTGTAGCACAGCAGCTCATGCAAGGCCTCACGAATGTCCCGGGAGGAATCCTGCAGGTCACAGACACATATCCTCACCCGCACCAAACAACACATGCCCATCCCCCACTCCCCTCCAGCCCCCCCCTCCCTTCCTCAATCCCCGCCCCCCATCCCCTCCCCTCCCCAAACCCCTCCCCAATCCCCTCCCCTCCCCAATCCTCTCCCGCCCCCTCCCATTCCCAATCCTCTCAAGCCCCCACCTCCCCAATCCTCTCCAGCCCCACCTCCCCTCCCCAATCCTCTCCAGCCCCACCTCCCCTCCCCAATCCCCTCCAGCCCCCACCCTCCCAACCCCAATCCCCTCCAGCCCCCACCCTCCCAACCCCAATCCCTCCAGCCCCCACCCTCCCATCCTCAATCCCCTCCAGCCTGGCTTCCCAACACCCACAAATCCATACAGACACAGACAAGACTCACATAAACACACACACATACCACACAGACACACACACAGACACACACGAAGACACACGCGAACCCACAGACAGATGCACAAACACGCACACACACAGATCGACAGACACACAGACAGTCAGACAGATAGACCCAGACAAACACACACACACTGACCTCCAGGACGGCGAGCACGGTGTCCAGCTGGTCCTCCCGCAGACGGATGTGGCTGGAGATGTGGCGCAAGGCGTGGATGGAGCCCAGACGCACCTCCTCAATCTCGTCGTTGAACATGTCCACCAGGAAGTCCAGGCACTTCTCAGCGAAGGAGGCGGAGGCCTGGCCCAGCGTACAGAGAGACTCCACCGCAGCCAGCCGCACCTCTGCTCACACACACAGGGCGATACTGAGCTCTGACCTCACACAGTGTCTGGGCTCACACAGTGTCTGGGCTCACACAGTGTCTGAGCTCACACAGTGTCTGAGCTCACACAGTGTCTGGGATCACACAGTGTCTGGGCTCACACAGTGTCTGAGCTCACACAGTGTCTGGGCTCACACAGTGTCTGGGCTCACACAGTGTCTGGGCTCACACAGTGTCTGGGCTCACACAGTGTCTGGGCTCACACAGTGTCTGAGCTCACACAGTGTCTGGGATCACACAGTGTCTGGGCTCACACAGTGTCTGAGCTCACACAGTGTCTGGGCTCACACAGTGTCTGAGCTCACACAGTGTCTGAGCTCACACAGTGTCTGAGCTCACACAGTGTCTGAGCTCACACAGTGTGTGGGCTCACACAGTGTCTGAGCTCACACAGTGTCTGAGCTCACACAGTGTCTGGGATCACACAGTGTCTGGGCTCACACAGTGTCTGAGCTCACACAGTGTCTGAGCTCACACAGTGTCTGAGCTCACACAGTGTCTGGGCTCACACAGTGTCTGAGCTCACACAGTGTCTGAGCTCACACAGTGTCTGGGATCACACAGTGTCTAGGCTCACACAGTGTCTGAGCTCACACAGTGTCTGGGATCACACAGTGTCTGGGCTCACACAGTGTCTGAGCTCACACAGTGTCTGGGCTCACACAGTGTCTGGGCTCACACAGTGTCTGGGATCACACAGTGTCTGGGCTCACACAGTGTCTGAGCTCACACAGTGTCTGGGATCACACAGTGTCTGGGCTCACACAGTGTCTGAGCTCACACAGTGTCTGGGATCACACAGTGTCTGGGCTCACACAGTGTCTGAGCTCACACAGTGTCTGGGCTCACACAGTGTCTGGGCTCACACAGTGTCTGGGATCACACAGTGTCTGGCTCACACAGTGTCTGAGCTCACACAGTGTCTGGGATCACACAGTGTCTGGCTCACACAGTGTCTGAGCTCACACAGTGTCTGGGCTCACACAGTGTCTGGGCTCACACAGTGTCTGGGATCACACAGTGTCTGGGCTCACACAGTGTCTGAGCTCACACAGTGTCTGGATCACACAGTGTCTGGCTCACACAGTGTCTGAGCTCACACAGTGTCTGGGATCACACAGTGTCTGGGCTCACACAGTGTCTGAGCTCACACAGTGTCTGGGCTCACACAGTGTCTGGGCTCACACAGTGTCTGGGATCACACAGTGTCTGGGCTCACACAGTGTCTGAGCTCACACAGTGTCTGGGATCACACAGTGTCTGGGCTCACACAGTGTCTGAGCCCACACATAGAGAATGTCGATTTAAAGTACTGGAGGGCAGCTGGCGTTCAGGGAACTGTACCTCAACACATGTCAGAACTTCCAGGAGAGGAGGGAAGAAAACTGAAGCTTTTAAAAGTATGTGTAATTTAAGATATGAGGCCACTAATTCAATCAGAGCATTGCTCTACCGTCTTTATTTTCAGAATCTATTCACATTCTAAATATCTGCTTTATTCTGCTCCAGGTCCATGAAGCTTTCTTGAACAGTAGAGGAAGCAATCCTCCCCAACAGCGTTCCTTCGCCTTCTTGCACCAAGTGATACAATTGAAACTGACAATTTGTTCCCTTGGGGAAAGCTCAAACACAAACGCTAATGAAAACTAGAATTTAAATTCCTGTCTACATATCCCATATTTTATGATGTTGCTCCAAGCTCTGTGAGCCGATCACCCCATCCTCGCCCGACTTCACTGACTCTCCATTCGCCGGATGAATGAGTTTAATAATCCCGTCCTGACTTTTAAAGCCCTCCTTCCTCTGCAACCTATTAACATCATATCAACCTTCCCGCTCCCTCTGTTGTGTAAATGCAATTTGTTGTTGTTGATGTCCTGTCCCATCCTTTAAGTATTAGATACATTCTGACTATTAATAATAATAATAATCCTTGCATTTTATATAGCACTTTTCATGTCTTCAAGACGTCTCAAAGCGCTTCACAGAATATAGTGTAAAGTGTAGTGACTATACTTTGTGGGCGAAACGCGGCAGTCAATTGCACACAGCAGTGTTCCACAAACAGCCATGGATTGAAGTGACCAAATTATTATTTTATTTTCTTTCGTTGAGGGATTATTATTAGGTGTGTGGAGTAAGGAAACTTGCCCAAGGTTTCGCCCTGATCTGCCGGGGATTGAACTCAGGTCTCTCGCTCGCAAAGCGAGTGCTCTAACCACTGAGCTACAGGATTACCAGAGTACTGGAGCTACACTTACAGACACCTCTTTTCCAACAAATATGGATAATGCCATACTCTTGAGAAAATTTATTTTCTGTGAAAATAGTTATGTTCAGGGTTAATGTATGAAATAGATTCTGGCAAATTTAAACGATGTTTTCAATATGCTGAAACAAATCTATTTATATAGAATATAAATCTATGAGCAAAAGTTCAAAATTAACTTTTCATTACTTTTAAAACTTATTTGTTCAACAGTTACTTCTTTTATATAATGTCGTTCATATAGCACAACTTCTCAAAGCGCTTCATTCTCTTGGCTTGTTTGACCCTCAACTGTCCTTTCTACCCATATCCGTGCCATGACCCGCTCTGCCTTCCCCACCTCCACAACATGGCCCGACTCTGCCACTGTCTCCCACCGCAGCCCCCGAGACCCTCACATACCCCTTCATTACATCCAGACTCCACCACACCAACTCCCTGCATCCAGACTCCACCACACCAACTCCCTGCTTGTCGCCCCCCAACTCCTCCCTCCATAGGCTGCACATCATCCAGAACTAACCTCTCCTCCACCCCATCACCCCCATCCTCACCCCCACCAGGCTCCCCCACCCCATCCTCACCCCACCAGGCTCCCCCACCCCATCCTCACCCCCACCAGGCTCCCCGACCCCATCACCCCCACCCTCACCCCCACCCGACTCCCCCACCCCATCACCCCCATCCTAACCCCCACCAGGCTCCCCGACCCCATCACCCGCATCCTCGCCCCCATCAGGCTCCCCAACCCCATCACTCCCATCCTCATTCCCACCAGGCTCCTCCACCCCATCACCCCCATCCTCACCCCCAAGGCTCCCCCACCCCATCCTCACCCCACCAGACTCCCCGAACCCATCACCCCCATCCTCAGCCCCACCAGGCTCCCCAACCCCATCTACCCCATCCTCACCCTCACCAGGCTCCCCCACCCCATCACCCCTATCCTCACCCCCACCAGGCTCCCCAACCCCATCACCCCCATCCTCACCCCCACCCGGCTCCCCGACCCCATCACCCCCATCCTCACCCCCACCAGGCTCCCCGACCCCATCACCCCCATCCTCACCCCCACCAGGCTCCCCCACCCCATCACCCCCATCCTCACCCCCACCAGGCTCCCCGACACCATCACCCCCATCCTCACCCCCACCAGGCTCCCTGATCCCATCGCCCCCATCCTCACCCCCACCAGGCTCCCCGACCCCATTACCCCCCATCCTCGCCCGACTCCGCTGGCTTCCCATCACACAGAGGATACAGTTCAAGAACCTGGTCCTCACCTTCAAAGCCTCATACACACTGCTCATACACACAGCCTCATTCACACCACTGCTCACACGCATAGTCCTGACTTGACTTGGCATGTTGTACAGTCAAACATTACAAAGAATGTACAGCATTGAAACAGGCCACTCAGCCCAACCAGTCCGTGTCGGTATTTATATTCCTCACGAGTCTCCAGTAGTTCCTTACTCCCTCCCACACCCTCTGTTCCCCTCTCCCTCACCTGAAGGTCTAGCTTCCTCTATCTCCTCCATGACCGCCTCAGGCAGCAAATGCCTCTATTCACTGCCTTCTGCATGAACTTGTTCCTCCTAAATTCCGTTTTCGACCCTCTAGTCATTATCATACTTGTGTTCCTGGTTACAGACTCCCCAATCAGGGAAACTGCCTGGCTATGTTAACGTTATCATATTAAACACTTCTATTAGGTTTCCCCCCTTTAAACGTCTGTTCTTGAGCTAAAAAAAAGGCTCAACCTGTCCAGTCTGTCCTGATATTAATAACCTGCAACCTCCATATAACAATAATAATCCCTGCATTTGATATCGAGCCTTATCACGTCACTGAGATGTCGCAAAGTGCTTCACAGGGTATACTGTAAATGTAGTGACTGTACATTTTGTGCTCAAAAACACGGCAGCCAGTTGCGCACAGCAGTGTCCCACACACATTCGTGGTGTGAGTGACCAATTTTAATTTAGGGGATTGTTGGCCAGGATACCTGAACAGGCTGTCAGGACCTCAGTTTAACATCTCATCCGACAATGCGACAATGTAGCACTGCATTGGAGCGTCAGCTTGGACTGCGTGATGCCAAGTCCCGATGTGAGGGCTTGAACTTCAAGACTCAGAGGCGAGAGAGTGCCACCGAGCCAGGCTGACACACAGACCACCACCCCGGAAAGCGATTAGCCAATCGACAAACAAACGGGTTTCTACTTATTGCTAGAACAGAGGCGTGTGTGAGTGTGGAGTAAGGAAACTTGCCTAGGATTTCGCCCCAAGCCAGGAATGGAACCAGTTCCTCTCGCTTGCTAACCACTACCCTACAGGATTTTGAATCATCCTCGTCAGCCAACGTGACTTGTAACATAGTCTCTGAAGCCACTTACCGTACATCTCGTCCTCCAGCCCGTGCACGAAGGCCCCGCAGGCCCCCGAGTTGATGAGATTGACGGTATAAGTGTTGACCGGCTCCTTCGGGCGTCATCCCCCCATTTGCGGCCACTTGAGAACTCGCCCGACGTGTACAGCTCCTTGGCTCGCTCATGGCACTGCGCTTCCTCTGGGCTCACACAAGGGAGAGAGAGAGACGGTCAGTCTCTGCTCGGCTGTCAGGGAAGTGGTAACCATGTCCCCCCTCTCCCCCACCCCCAACTACATCAGCTCGGCTCAGTCACACTCTCCTGTCTATAACCCCAAACGCCCTGCACCTCTGCTAACCCTGCAGCCAAAGTAAGTACGTACTTCCATACAATGAATGAACGAACGAACGAACGAAGAGGGTGGACCTCGCTGGACAAGCAGCGGGAAAGCTAGCCAGACAATGTGGTTTAGCTGGTTAGACCCCAGCAGTTACCCCAACACACACACTGGGCTCCCTCAAGCCTTGGCTCTCACCCAACCTGCGCCTAATACTCTCCGGAATTAGGTAAACCGGATGCCTCCCTCCAGGGGGAGGGGGAGAGAGAGAGAGAGAGAGCGCCTTCCATTCCGACAATCTATCTCTGGGATTTCCAGGTGTAGGTGGGATGCGTGGAATTCTAATCTTGGCGTGCATCAGACACCTGGCTGACCAAGCAAAAACACCTCGCTCCCCCGGTCAGATGGTGTCTAACTTCTGATCGCACCCGAAGACTTTCCTCAAGCTCTGCCACATCAGCTCGGCTCAGTCACGCTCTCCTGTCTAAAATCCCGAACACCTTGGTCAGTGCTCTGAGACGTTACCCACATGAAGAGTGCTGTGTGAAAGCGATATATATATATAACATTAAGTCAAACCCGAGCCCTCTGGCTGGCGAGGCAAGCGTGCTAAACCGCTATGCTACGGGACTCAACAAAGTTGTTGTTGGTTTGGTCCCCGTCCTCTATCTCCCCTCCACGCCCCTTCTCTCTGCCTGACTCAGTGAGCCTCCCCACAGAGCGTCAGCCCCCACACCCCCCCACCCCGCCCCCCGCATGGTGTGATCTTACCTTCAGGTCGGACATCAGTTTCTTGTCGAGAGTCTGCTCCAGGAACTGCACACTGACCTGGTTCATGGATCCCTGACGAATACAAACAGGGGATGGTAACACAGTGCAGTTGGTGTCAGTCGTATCTTTATAAATCGTGCAATCGCCTAAGTCGTACATTCACCCCAGTCCCCATCAGGTTCCAATCAAAACCACTTAAGATTTCTTTACAAAACATAAAATACTGCCGATGCTGGAAATCTGGAATAATAACAGACGTCGGTGGGAACACTCAGCAGGTCAGGCAGCATCTATGGATAAAGGAAAGTCGTGGACCTGAAACGTTGACTCACTTTCCTTTCTCCATAGATGCTGCCTGACCTGCTGAGTGTTCCCAGCGACTAGTGTTTGTCCTCCCACTTTACACTCTATTCTGTGAAGCGCTTTGAGATGTGATAAGGCCCTGCATCAAATGCAAGGATTATTATTAAAATACAAGTGATTTGGGTTCCTCTCTTCACGGGTTCCTTTTATATAAATTCCCACAAACGCAATAATAATATTATTAATAATATAGAATAATCCTTGCGTTTGATATAGCGCTAACTGTATCAAACTTTAAACGTTAGCTTTATAGTATACTGTAAAGTGAATTGACAGTGTATATTCTGAGTGAAACACGGCAGCCAATTGAGCACAGCAGTGAGAGTCCCACAAACAGTCGTGGATTGGTGACCAAATCTTTTTTGAAGGAATTATTACCCCCGGTAAAGTGATCTGCCAATTGACTAATGACCAGGTTCCTACTGATTGCTGGTAAACAGAGGCGTATGTGTGGAAACGTTGACTCACTTTCCTTTCTCCATAGATGATGCCTGACCTGCTGAGTGTTCCCAGCGACATCTGTTTAAGATTTCTTTACACCATTCATATTAATTACCTCCTAACTCGTAACTCTGCTGCCCTACCCTCCCATTACTCCGCACTTGCCAGCTGTCTTCAATGCGGGAAACATTCACCCGTCAACGCATGAGCAGCAGAACTTCCCGCGATTCAATGTGACTCCAACCCCTACCGGTAAGTGCACATGTGGTGACGGGACAAGTACCTTTGAATCATGGGAAACGCAGCGTTAACCAGTCACCACATGTGCACTTACCGGCCGCAGTGAATTACGCCTGAGCAGCGCAGATTATTAATTAAATTGGATTTTGTACGACGTATACAGTTTGCCCGCAACTCAGACCTTCACGTATGTCATATTAAATGTTATGGTCCAGAATGATAGGATTTATGTAAGTTTTTTACATCCGATGCAGTGATTTATATAGCGACTGTGAACTTTATAGACCAAAGAGGTAAACAATCAACGCACAACAAGGCCTCGCAGTCATAATAATCCTGGCATTTGAGGCATTACAGCGCCTGATCACGTCTTCGAGACGTCTCAAAGCCCTTCACAGCTACACTGTAAAGTGAATTGACTGTATATTTTGTGGGTGAAACGCAGCAGCCAATTGTGCACAGCAGTGAGTATCCCACAAACAGTTGTGGATGGAGTGACCAATTTTTTTTTGAAGGAATAATTATCACTGGAAAAGCGATCCATCGATCAACTAACAACCAGGTTCCTACTGACTGCTGGTAAACAGAGGCATGAGGAAGGAAACTTGCCTAAGGTTTCACCCTGCCCGGGAATCGAACCTGGGTCCTCTCGCTTGCAAGATGAGTGCTCCAACCACTGAGCTACAGGTGGTGTGTGCTTGTGTGCGTTGGAGGGTGGTGGGGGGGGCATTTATCTGAATTGTAGAGGGCAAAACCAGCCGAGGCTCCAGCTCCTGGTCCCTCTACAGTGCCCTCTCCTAGCTGTACAAGTGTCTGCCCACACTCACTGGCAAAGGCACACAAAGACAAAACAATACATCATTAACATTCACACAGGGCCTTTTTCATCAGGAGGGTGTCCTAAGGCGCTTAAGCTTGGATGAAGGACGAATCTTACCAGTAGTTTAGCAGCCTGTACTCGGACCAACCAGGACCCATCGTTCACCAGGTGACAAACCTTTCCGAAAGTGTCGTCCACTAGCCGGATTTCCTCGTTGGAGGAGGGAATGGGGACGATGCTGAGACACAGATACTCAGGGTTAATTTGGAGTCCTGATGCTTGTCCACTCCCTCCACTCAGCGGGCTCCGGCCTGCTCCACACCTCCCGCCTGGCTCACCCACCATCGGCGGTCAGGCCTTCAGCCTCGCTGTCCCCACGCTCTGGAACTCCATCCCACAACCTCTCTGCCTCGTTTCCTCCCTCGCCTCCTTCAAGACCTGTTTCAAGACCCTCCTCTTCGACCGCGTCTTCGGTCACCCTCATACCCCCACCCTCCCTGCCCTCCACCCGTCCTGATCCCAACCCCCAGCTGAGGTCCAAATCCCGGACAACCAGTGCCTTAGGATGTCCTCCCGCTCTGTAAATGTCAGTTTTTATTGTTGCCATTGATATACTGCCTAAAAGGGATTTTTTTTCACTCGTCTAATGTCTGTTCCTGCTCCCCAGCGTCCTCTCACTGGCTTCCAGTTCCATATTTGCTGGTTGTGCCCTGGAATCCCAGTCAGACAACCCCACTTGTCAGTCGGACCTCCTGCACTCTGCGCTCTGGAGCTCCATCACGGAGTCCCTCTGACTCCCTCCTTCCCTCGTTCAAGGTTCGTCTCAAGACCTAGCTCTTTGACCACAGCTTTGGTTGATCTGTTCTCAAAATGTAACCCTTTAAGCCCTGGTCTCATTCTGGTGAATCTGAGCTGCATCCCCTCCAGAGTCAATATATCCTTCCTGAGGTGCGGTGCCCACAGGAACACTGAACACAGTCTCCAGATGGGAGTTTGACCAAGGCTCTGTATGACTGAGGCATCATTTGATCACCTTTGTATTGCAGCCCCTTGTTGGTCATACGATCCTGCCAACTGGAAGGATTATGGGCTACTGAGAGCGAGACAGAAACTTTGAAGGAGTTGGTCTGGGAAGTTGGACGGAGTGAGTTGGGGATATTACGTTTTGACATTGTGGATAGAAGATACAGAGGAGAGCAACCAACATGATTGAGGGGAGGGAGGGGCTGGACTATGAGGAGCAATTAGATAAACTGGGCAGATTCACACTGGAGAAGAGAACGTTGAGGGTGATATGATTGCGGTCTTTAAGATTCTGAAGGGAATAGATAATGTAGACCATGAGAAGCTGTTTTATCTTGCCTGAACAGTAGAACCAGAGGAAATGGTCTTCGAATGAAGTAAATTCAGAAGAAATTCTGCTTGGAGCAGAGAAAGTTAAGAGGAGACTTAATAGAAGTTTTCAAAATTATGAGGGGATTCAAAAGGGTGAACAAGGAGAAACTATTCCCACTGGCGGGTGGGTCGGTAACCCGAGGACACCGATTTAAAATTGAGGTTAAAAGAAGCAGAGGAGAAATTTTTTTACACAGCGCGTTGTCGGGATCTGGAATGCATTGTGTGAAAGGCTGGGGGAAGGCGATTAGATAATAACTTTTAAGAGAGAAGCAGATAATTATTTGGGGAGGACAAGTTTGCAGGGATATGGGGAGAGTGGGGGAGTGGGGTTGATCAGGGCTATGGGGAGAGAGCGGGGGAGTGGGGTTGATCAGGGCTATGGGGAGAGAGCGGGGAGTGGGGTTGATCAGGGCTATGGGGAGAGAGCGGGGGAGTGGGTTGATCAGGGCTATGGGGAGAGAGCGGGGGAGTGGGGTTGATCAGGGCTATGGGAGAGAGCGGGGGAGTGGGGTTGATCAGGGCTATGGGGAGAGAGCGGGGGAGTGGGGTTGATCAGGGCTATGGGGAGAGAGTGGGGGAGTGGGGTTGATCAGGGCTATGGGGAGAGAGCGGGGGAGTGGGGTTGATCAGGGCTATGGGGGAGAGGGGGGAGTGAGGTTGATCAGGGCTACGGGGAGAGAGCGGGGAGTGGGGTTGATCAGGGCTGTGGGGAGAGTGGGGGAGTGGGGTTGATCAGGGCTATGGGGAGAGAGTGGGGTTCATTTGGAAGCTCTTTTCAAAGAGCAGCACAGACAGTTATGGGCCGAATGGCCTCCTTCTGTACTGTATAACTCTATGAAATCTGTGGAAACACTGCTTCACTGAGTGAGTGGTAAACATATGGGACATGCTCCCTTGGGAGATGGTGGAAGCAGAAAATGTCATTTGTTTCAAGAACAAATGAGATAGATTTCTGCTAGAAAATATAATAACAATAATAATCTTTGCATTTCATATAGTGCCTTATCACGTCTTCTCGACGTCTCAAAACGCTTCACAGAATATACTGTAAAGTGAATTGACTGTATATTTATGGGTGAAACACGGCAGCTGATTGCGCACAACAGTGTCCCACAAACACTCGTGGATTTTTTTTTCTTGAGGGATTATTATCAGGTGTGTGGAGAAAGGAAACCTGCCCAAGGTTTCGCCCTGCTGGGAATCAAAGCCAGAAACACGCTTGCGAGGCCAGTGCTCTAAGCTTCAGGACCCGTGGGATACAGTGGGATACGCGTTTGGAACACGACGTATCAAGTGACTCCAGGATGGTGGAAGGCCAACTAGATAGACCTTGGTCTTCCTTCCCCTAGAAAATGATCATGTTGTTATTGTTCAAACCTCCACTGCTCACCTGTCAGGGTACAGCTGACTCAGGACCCACACAAGCTGCACTGCCACAGACCGCACCTGCTCATAATCATCAGACAGTGCCTGGCAAACCTTACAGACAAACACAACACAGAACATTAGAGCCACGATGATGGTGTTCAAAAATGGAACCCAAAAACACACTGTTTGAGAGACCTCACTGTAGCTGGTTATACTCCACACTCTGGGCTACACCCAAGCCTTGGCTCTTATCAAACTGCGCCTAATACTCCCCGGAATTAAGTAAGCAGGATGAGTCCCTCCAGGAAGAGAGTGTATTCCACTCTATCCATCTCTGGGATTTCCATGTGCAGGTGGGATGCACAGAATTCTGTTTGGTTTGGATACTCTTAATCACAGTTTCCGCACGTGTCAGACCTCCGGGTGACCAAAATACACTGTGCAAAAATTGGCTGCCCTGTTTCACCCACAAAACAGTCACTGAACTTTGCAGTGTATCCTGTGAAACGCTTTGCGACGTCTCAAAGACGTGATAAGCTGCTATATCAAATGCCAGGAATATTATTATTATCCAAAGGACTAGCCATGTACTCCATCAACACAGCGCCCCCCCTCCTCCCTCCCCTGGTACTGTGCTGGAGTGCAGTATTGAGAGGGGGACACCATTTGCTTCTCATCGGTCCAGTTGATGCCCGACACGTGCAGAAATGTCACGGCCACACTGGAGAGTCTCCAAATCAAACTACCAAGAATTCCAACTGTGTAAGGAAATTTCCGTTTGTCTGATATGGGGCAGTGACTGGGGCTCGACCTACGTGTAAAGGAGGTGGACTGCAATCAGGCTTGATTCTTAAAATAAACCTTTTTTTTGTTACAGCTCTTGTGCAAGTTGTATTTTTAGACACAGTGGGAAAGAGACTTAGATCTCAAACGTAACAGAGTGATTTTGCTAGCTGGGCTGTGGAAGCGCCCCAGGACGCTACCCCACGTAAAGGACGCTATATATTTACAAGTTATTATTGTTGGTCACTTCGCCACTCTTACCTGGCAGTAGATTGTCTGCTGTAACCTCATTCCTCGCTCGTGCAACTGCAACTGGGATAAAAGTACAAAGATCAAGATAGTAAGAAAAAAGGAACTCTGATTCTATGTCGCATCAAAACCTCTCAAAGCACTTTACTCTCACCATGGCTCTGTTTACCCAGCAATAAGTAGGAAATCAGTGGTTAGTCGATTGGCGGAGCGCTTTCTGGGGTAAGGAATCGACTAACAACCGGGTTCCTACTTACTGCCATGTAGACAGAGGCGTGTGGAGTAAGGAAACTTGCTTAAGGGAATCAAACCTGGATCCTGATGCTTGCGAGACGAGTGCTCTAACTACTATGCTATGGGACTCGGATTGAGAGGAGGTCTGACAAAAGTAGAAGGGTTTTTTGATGAGGTAAATAGAGAGAAACTATTTTCTCTCGTCAGTGAGTCGGTAAGAGAGCATCGATTTAAGATCATAGCATCATAGAATTATACAGCACAGAAGGAGGCCATTCGGCCCATCGTGTCTGTGCTGCTCTTTGAAAAGAGCTTCCAAATCAACCCCACCCCCCCACTCTCCCCATAGCCCTGATCAACCCCACTCCCCCACTCTCTCCCCATAGCCCTGATCAACCCCACTCCCCCACTCTCTCCCCATAGCCCTGATCAACCCCACTCCCCCCGCTCTCTCCTCATATCCCTGATCAAGCCCACTCCCCCCGCTCTCTCCCCATAGCTCTGCAAACTTTTCCTCCCCAAATAATTATCTGCTTCTCTCTCCAAAGTTGTTATCTAATCTCCTTCCTCCAGCCTTTCAGGCAACGCATTCCAGATCCCAACAACTCACTGTGTGAAAATATTTCTCCTCCCCTCTGTTTCTTTTAACAACTAATTTAAACCGGTGTCCTCGGGTTACCGACCCACCCGCCAGTGGGAAAAGTTTCTCCTGTTCACCCTATCATATCCCCTCATCATTTTGAAAACTTTTATTAAATCTTCTCTTAACCTTCTCTGCCCGAGGAGGACAGTCCTGGCCTCTCCGGCCTCTCCTGATAACTGAAGGCCCTCATTCCTGGTACCATTCTGGTCAATCCCCTTCGCACCCTCTCCAATGCCTTGACATCCTTCCTAAAGTGTGGGGCCCAGAACTGAACCCAGTCTCTCGCTGAGGCCCAACCAGTGTTTTATATAAAGGTTCATCATAACTTCCTGACTTGTGTATTCTATGGCCCTATTTATAAAGCCCAGTATCCCGGATGCTTTTTTATAATAATAATAATAATCCTTGCATTTGATATAGCGCTTTTCACGTCGGGAGGACGTCCCAAAGCGCTTCACAGAACACACTGTAAAGTTAATTGACTGTATATTTGTGGGCGAACGCGGCAGCCAATTGCGCACAGCAATGTCCCACAAACAGTCGTAGATTGAAAATGACCAATTTTTATTATTGTTTTTGGTTTTGGAGGGATTATTAGATTATTTTTAACAGCTTTATCTGCCTGTCCTGCCACCTTCAGAGATTTACTATATGACCCCAGGTCTCTCTGTTCCTTCACCCCCTTTAAGACTGTACCATCAGTTTATATCGCCTCTCCTCATTCTTCCTCACAAAATGCACCACTTTGTATTTCTCCACATTAAACGTCATCTGTCGAGGTCATTAAAAACCCAGTGAGGGGTTAGAATTGTTTACACACAACACCAGCTTACATTCATACAGTGCCCTTCACCAGGTAGCGTCTCAGAGCGCTTAACAATGGCAAAGTTTGACGCCAGGCTGGGAGAAAAGGGAGGTGACAGGAGCCACGGTTATAGAGGAAGTGTCAAACGCACACACACTAGGATCGGAAGGGCTGGTTAAAACAGAATCTACAATAACCACTGAAAAGGAATCGGAACAAATATTTGCAAAGGAAAACACAGGGGAATAATAATAATGATAATAATCTTGTAGTTGATATAGCCCTTCCGATCCTAGTGTGTGTGTGTTTGACATTTCCTCTTTAACCGTGGCTCCTGTCACGTCCCTTTCTCCCAGCCTGGCGTCAAACTTTGCCATTGTTAAGCGCTCTGAGATCACGTCTTCGAGACGTCTCTGATGTCGAGACTTCGAAAGTGTTTCACAGAATATACTGTAAATTGAATTGACTGTATGTTTTGCGAGCGAATGGTGCTAAACAGTTCTTTCAACAATTACAACGACCTGCATTTGCTCAGCGCCCTTCAGTCAGGGGAACGTCTCGGAGCATTGCTCTGGGTCGCTACCCCGTGTGAGGGCGCTATATAAATGCAAGCTGTTGTTGTTGTTGCCAGAGAGCTGCCACAGGCACGCTGGACCGGATGGCCTCCTTCAGCGCTGGAAGATTCCTGGAATAAATGGAAGGGGAATAATAATAATAATTTGATGTAGCGCGTTATCACATCGTTCAGATGTCTCAAAGCATCTTTCAGGATATACTGTAAAGTGGATTGACTGTGTATTTTGTGGCTGAAATTCAGCAAAATTACCCCCAGAAAGCAATCCGACAATCAACTAAACAAGTGGGTTCCTACTTACTGTGAGGTAAATAGAGGCGCGGAGTAAGGAAACTTGCCTAGAGATTCCCCCCCGACCGGGAATCAAACCCACTCGCTTACGTGGCGAGCGCTTTACCCACTACGCTGCGGGACTTACCATTGCCTTCATGGCTGCGGTGCGAACACGAGGGTCCTGGTCGGTGAAGTAATCGGTGATGATCTTCTGAACGTCCCTGGCTGCCAGGTTTTCCATCTCTTTCCCCACTGGCTTCTCCAGTAAACCCAAACAGCCCACCAGCTCCAGGCACTTGTTCCTCACTACATGAGACGTGTCCGTCAGGTGCTAACAAACATGAGGGAGGTTACAGCTGAGGATCAGCCATTTTACAAGGTGCTACATCACCCATTATAATAATAATAATCCTTGCATTTCATACAGCGCCTTATCAGGTCTTCGAGACGTCTCAAAGCGCTTCACAGAATGTACTGTAAAGTGAGTTGACTGTATATTTGTGAACGAAACATGGCAGCCAATTGTGCACAGCAGTGTCCCCACAAACAGTCAGGGATTGAGTGACCAAATTATTATTATTATTTTTTGAAGGAATTATCACCCCCGGAAAAGCGATCCGCCAATCGATTAACAACCGGGTCCCTACTTATTGCTGGTAAACACAGAGGTGTGTGGAGCAATATTGTGCCCAATGTTTCGCTCTCCTGCCCGGGAATCAAACCCAGATCCTCTCGCTTGTGAGGCGAGTGCTCTAACTACTGAGCTAAAGGACTCCAAAGCACACAGAGCAGCTTAGGAAGCTGGCTAGTCAGCTCCAAGTGTTCAGGTTACAATGAGATCAGAGACACTTCTTTTGCTTTCCCAAAAGCTCTGCAGAATTTTCACATCTGACCTGAATGGGCCGACTGGGACATGGAATAACCCCTGACCTCCCCCCCACCACCCGCCCTCACTCCCAAGCATTAGACAGCCCTACCTTACAGGCGATCTCAACCAGCCGATAAGAGACAGGCAGGTTTTCTTGGGAGCTGTTTTCCCGATGACCAGGGAGAGCGTCCACTAACTGTGCGAGGACCTGGTGAGACTCTGCAGGGAATAATATAGGGAATCAGCAACAGCCCAGAAACAACCAACAAACCCAAGACTACGCTATGAAATGTTACACAGAATTAAATAGCACGGAAATAGGTTATTTGGCCAAAAACTTATGGCTACAATTCAATTTACACTCATACAGCGCCTTAAATTAAGTACTTGAAGAGGCACAATATAAAAGAGGGAGAGCAAAGAATGGGGTTAGAGTAGAGAGTTCCAGTGGGGGAGCGAGGCCCAGCACAGACATGATGGGGAGAGAGAGAGAGAGAGCAGGGAATGGGGTTAGAGGAGAGAGCTGCAGTGGGCAGCGAGCCCCAGCAGACACCATGGGGAGAGAGAGAGAGAGAGCAGGGAATGGGGTTAGAGTAGAGAGTTCCAGTGGGGGAGCGAGCCCCAGCACAGACACCATAGGGAGAGAGAGAGAGAGCAGGGAATGGGGTTAGAGTAGAGAGTTCCAGCGGGGGAGCGAGTCCCAGCACAGACACCATGGGGAGAGGAGAGAGAGGAATGAGGTTAGAGTAGAGAGTTCCAGTGAGGGAGCGAGCCCCAGCACAGACACAATGGGGAGAGAGAGAGAGAGAGAGAGCAGGGAATGGGGTTAGAGTAGAGAGCTCCAGTGGGGGAGCGAGCCCCAGCACAGACACCATGGGGAGAGAGAGAGAGAGAGAGAGAGCAGGGAATGGGGTTAGAGTAGAGAGCTCCAGTGGGGGAGCGAGCCCCAGCACAGACACCATGGGGAGAGAGAGAGAGAGAGAGCAGGGAATGGGGTTAGAGTAGAGAGCTCCAGTGGGGGAGCGAGCCCCAGCACAGACACCATGGGGGAGAGAGAGAGAGAGAGAGCAGGGAATGGGGTTAGAGTAGAGAGCTCCAGTGGGGGAGCGAGCCCCAGCACAGACACCATGGGGGAGAGAGAGAGAGAGGAGAGCAGGGAATGGGGTTAGAGTAGAGAGCTCCAGTGGGGGAGCGAGCCCCAGCACAGACACCATGGGGAGAGAGAGAGAGAGAGAGAGCAGGGAATGGGGTTAGAGTAGAGAGCTCCAGTGGGGGAGCGAGCCCCAGCACAGACACCATGGGGGAGAGAGAGAGAGAGAGAGCAGGGAATGGGGTTAGAGTAGAGAGCTCCAGTGGGGGAGCGAGCCCCAGCACAGACACGATGGGGAGAGAGAGAGAGCAGGGAATGGGGTTACAGTGGAGAGCTCCAGCGGGGGTGCGAGCCCCAGCACAGACACCATGGGGAGAGAGGAGAGAGAGAGAGCAGGGAATGGGGTTAGAGTAGAGAGCTCCAGTGGGGGAGCGAGCCCCAGCACAGACACCATGGGGGGAGAGAGAGAGCAGGGAATGGGTTAGAGTAGAGAGCTCCAGTGGGGGAGCGAGCCCCAGCACAGACACCATGGGGGAGAGAGAGAGAGAGCGGGAATTGGGGGTTAGAGTAGAGAGCTCCAGTTGGGGAGCGAGCCCCAGAACAGACACCATGGGGGAGAGAGAGAGAGAGAGAGAGCAGGGAATGGGGTTAGAGTAGAGAGCTCCAGTGGGGGAGCGAGCCCCAGCACAGACACCATGGGGAGAGAGAGAGAGAGCAGGGAATGGGGTTAGAGTAGAGAGCTCCAGTGGGGGAGCGAGCCCCAGCACAGACACCATGGGGGAGAGAGGAGAGAGAGCAGGGAATGGGGTTAGAGTAGAGAGCTCCAGTGGGGGAGCGAGCCCCAGCACAGACACCATGGGGGAGAGAGAGAGAGAGAGCAGGGAATGGGGTTAGAGTAGAGAGCTCCAGTGGGGGAGCGAGCCCCAGCACAGACACCATGGGGGGAGAGAGAGAGAGAGAGAGAGAGAGCAGGGAATGGGGTTAGAGTAGAGAGCTCCAGTGGGGGAGCGAGCCCCAGCACAGACACCATGGGGGGAGAGAGAGAGAGAGCAGGGAATGGGGTTAGAGTAGAGAGCTCCAGTGGGGGAGCGAGCCCCAGCACAGACACCATGGGGAGAGAGAGAGAGAGCAGGGAATGGGGTTAGAGTAGAGAGCTCCAGTGGGGGAGCGAGCCCCAGCACAGACACCATGGGGAGAGAGAGAGAGAGAGAGAGAGAGAGAGCAGGGAATGGGGTTAGAGTAGAGAGTTCCAGTGGGGGAGCGAGTCCCAGCACAGACACAATGGGGAGGGAGAGAGAGAGAGAGAGAGAGAGAGAGCAGGGAATGGGGTTAGAGTAGAGAGTTCCAGTGGGGGAGCGAGCTCCAACACAGACACCATGGGGAGAGAGAGAGAGAGAGAGAGAGCGCAGGGAATGGGGTTAGAGTACAGAGCTCCTATGGGGGAGCGAGCCCCAGCACAGACACCATGGGGAGAGAGAGAGAGAGAGAGAGAGAGAGCAGGGAATGGGGTTAGAGTAGAGAGTTCCAGTGGGGGAGCGAGCCCCAGTCTATGGTCGATGTGATGCCAGGCTCCGTTTTTCTCCCTAAACTTACTCTCATTGCTGAGGGCTATGATGACCTCATCCACAATGCTGTCGGCTGCGAAGCCGGGAGTTTTAGACAGGAGGCCGATCAGGGAGGCGATCTTCAGTCTGACCGAACTCTCGTTCTCCTGCCAGCAAAACCAGACAAACATAACAACAACAACTTGCACTTGCATAGCTCCCTCCACACAGGGCAGCGTCTCGGAGCGCTTAACAGTGGTGGAGCCTGACTCTGAGCCGGGGGAAGGGGGAGGTGGCCGTAAAAACGGTTGAAGAGGAAGGTTTTCAGGCTGGATTTGACAAGGTGGATAGAGGGGGCGAGGCGGGGGATTGGGGGAGAGCGTTCCTGAGTTTTGGGGCCTAGTGGCTGAAAGAGCGACCTCCGATGGTGGGTGGGGGGATGCGCCAGGTTGAGCGGAGGCACTGACCGGGTGGTGGATTGGGGAGTGAGGAAGTTGGAGAGGGAGGGAGGAGATTGGAGAGAAGTGAGTGAAGGGGTTGGAAAGAGAGGGAGGCGGTCGGAGAGGGAGGGAGCGAGTGAGGGGGTTGGAGAGGGAGGAGGTCGGAGAGGGAGGGAGTGAGGAGGTTGGGAAGGGAGGGAGGAGGGAGGAGAGGGAAGGAGGAGGTTGGGAAGGGAGGGAGGGAGGTGCCAGGGAATGAAGGGATTTGAGCATTAAAAAGTGAGTGTTTTTGGCAGCCATCACTGTGCTGAACACTATTCAAACCAAACTGAGAATCCCCCACATCCACCCACACACGGAAATCCCAGAGATAGATTGTTGGAATGGAAGGCGCTCTCTCTCTCTCTCCCCACCACCCTCTCTCTCCCCCTTCCCCCCCACCCCCCTCTTTCTCTCTCCCCCCCCTCTCTCTCTATCGTTGGAGGAATGCATCCTGCTGACCTAATTCCGAAGAGAATTAGGCGCAGGTTGGTGAGAACCAAGGCTCAGGGGGGACCAGAGTGTGTGTTGGGGTAACTGCTGAGGTCTAACCAACAAAAAACACACAGTTTGCCATTGATATTGCTGTCTGAAAGATTTCCCGCTGCTTGTCCAGCTGGGTCCTAGGAGCTGAGTGGGAGGATTCCCTGCCCTCATCTAAACTATGTAGGTGGGATGCATGGAAATCTCAGCTTGGTTTAGATACTGTTAAGCATAGTGACGGGTTTCCGTGTGTGACAGACACCCGACCGGTCACGGTGACGGGTTTCCGTGTGTGACAGACACCCGGCCGGTCACGGTGACGGGTTTCCGTGTGTGTCAGACACCCGGCCGGTCACGGTGACGGGTTTCCGTGTGTGTCAGACACGCGGCCGGTCACGGTGACGGGTTTCCGTGTGTGTCAGACACCCGGCCGGTCACGGTGACGGGTTTCTGTGTGTGTCAGACACCCGGCCGGTCACGGTGACGGGTTTCCGTGTGTGACAGACACCCGACCGGTCACGGTGACGGGTTTCCGTGTGTGTCAGACACCCGGCCGGTCACGGTGACGGGTTTCCGTGTGTGTCAGACACCCGGCCGGTCACGGTGACGGGTTTCCGTGTGTGTGTCAGACACCCGGCCGGTCACGGTGACGGGTTTCCGTGTGTGACAGACACCCGGCCGGTCACGGTGACGGGTTTCCGTGTGTGTCAGACACCCGGCCGGTCACGGTGACGGGTTTCCGTGTGTGTCAGACACCCGGCCGGTCACGGTGACGGGTTTCCGTGTGTGTCAGACACCCGGCCGGTCACGGTGACGGGTTTCCGTGTGTGTCAGACACGCGGCCGGTCACGGTGACGGGTTTCCGTGTGTGTCAGACACCCGGCCGGTCACGGTGACGGGTTTCCGTGTGTGACAGACACCCGGCCGGTCACGGTGACGGGTTTCCGTGTGTGTCAGACACCCGGCCGGTCACGGTGACGGGTTTCCGTGTGTGTCAGACACCCGGCCGGTCACGGTGACGGGTTTCCGTGTGTGTCAGACACCCGACCGGTCACGGTGACGGGTTTCCGTGTGTGTCAGACACCCGGCCGGTCACGGTGACGGGTTTCCGTGTGTGACAGACACCCGACCGGTCACGGTGACGGGTTTCCGTGTGTGTCAGACACCCGGCCGGTCATGGTGACGGGTTTCCGTGTGTGTCAGACCCGACTGAGCAAAAACAAACGGGTTGTGAGTGTGAGTTTGTCCGAGATAGTGTACCTTATAATAATGCTCCAGCAGAATGCGGACGACACCCTCCACGCTCTCGGCCTCCACAGGTTTCTTGGAGAACTGCAGCAGGTACTGCAGGGCCTCGGTGGGGCTGCTGGATTTGCACAGGTCGATGTGAAGAGCCGCAGACTTGCTGGGTTTTGTCAGGCGAAGCTTTTTGGCGGGAATCTCTTCGTGTGGTTGCAACTGGAAAGGAACCGAGGTTTCGTAAGATATTTAAGAAGCCAATGTAAACCATCGCTCTGCTGAACACAAAGTGATTTTCATCTACAAACGTCCTGTAGCTCAGCCTCGCTGTGATCAGACTGTGGCTCACCTCACAAGCCAGAGGACCCAGATTCAATTCCCGGGAGGGCAATATCTTAGGTAAGTTTCCTTGTTCCACACGCCTCTGTTTACCGAGCAGTAAGTAGGAACCCGGTTGTTCATCGATTGGCAGATCACTTTCCGGGGGTAATAAATTCAGTTTTTAAAAAAAATTGGTCACTGAATCAAATGTCTGTGGGACATTTCATCCACAAAAAAAATTCTCCCCTTCACAATATATTCTATGAAGCGCTTTGAGACATCTCAACAACTTGATAAGGTGCTATATCAAATGCAAGGATTATTATTATTACGAAAACAGTAACTCAGCAATTATCCTAGAGGTGCTTTGATACTTTGCTATTGCAGATATCCTGTGTCAAATATAAGAATTTTCCAGTCCATCGTCAAGGCTCATTTCTCTGCATCTTATAATAATAATAGTTGCATCTGCTGAAGTACCTTTCACATTGTCAAACATCTCAAGGCGCTTCACAGAACATAACGTAAAGTGGATTGACTGTATATTTTGTGGGTGAAATGTGTCAGCCACTTTGCGCCCAACAGTGAGTGTCCCACACACAATCGTAGATTGAGTGACCAATTTTATTTGGGGGATTGTTGGCCAGGACACCAGGAGAGAGAAACTCCCTTCTGTTTTCCAACATTCACGGGATCTTTAACATCCACCTGAGCAGGCAGACGGGACCTCGGTTTAACATCTCATCAGAAGGATGGGTGCCAGCTATGATCTTCCACACGTTAGATCATATCTCGCACCCAACGCTGCCTTCATCACCTCCAGGCTCACTTCAACTAATAACTCATCCATACATTCTGTTGCACTGGACTACACACACACCATCCACGACAGCCTCCACTGTCTCCTGGCAAAACGACTTTCAAGATCCTCTCCCTTCAAATATTTACCCCTCATCTGTCTTGCAAGGTTCTCTAACAGCCTACCCCCCTGACACGCACACAAGCTTAAGTGTCCTTCCGACATGAAAGTCGTAATATAAATGTAATATTGTTGTCGCCCCCAACTTTCTCTTCCCCTATCCTCGCTGCTTGGTTCAGTACGATCTCTGTACCCAGTCAGGAACATCAAGTGTTTTGCAACGTGCTCCCGGCATGAAAGGCGCTATAACTAATAATATTAATCCTTGCATTTGGTACAGTGCCTTATCGTTGAGTACCTTGTCGTTGAGACGTCTCAAAGCTCTTCACAGAATATACTGTAAAGTGTCGTAACTGTGTATTTTGTGGGCAAAATGCGCACAGAGTGAGTGTCCCACCAACAGCTGTGGATTGAGTGACTCCATTTTTTAAAAAGGGATTACTCCCTTCAAAAGTGATCTGCCGATCGGGTTCCTGCTCACTGCCGATCGGGTTCCTGCTCACTGCCGATCGGGTTCCTGCTCACTGCCTGGGGAACCGAGGCGTTTGGAGTAAGGAAACTTGCCTCAGGTTTTGTATAAATATAAAAAGCATTGTTTTGTGCTGTAACCCCTGCCACTACATGTAAAATGGGCTCCGATGATTTTATTTGCGGGTGCGATGTTCACGGTTTTGTGCGGCCCATAGTGGGGATCTGATATAGAGAAATATTGAGACACACACGCACACACACACACACACAGACAGACACACAGACAGACAGACATGAAACCTGTGTCAATCTGTGGGTGTTTCTGTCTAGCTACGTCTCTCATTGTCTATCAGACTTTCTACCTCCATGACTTTCTCTCTCTGTCTGCGTGTCTCTCAGTCTGTGTCTCTCTCACTGTCTGTGTCTCTCTGTCTATGTATCTCTCAGTCTCTTTGCCTGTCTCTCTCTCTGTATGCGTGCTCTCTGACTCTATATTGTGCTCTCTCTCAGTCAGTCTCACTCTTGTCTATTTGTGTCTCTGTTCGCCCGTGTCTGTCTGTGTGTGTATCTCTCTCTCTCTATGTGTATATCTCTCACAGTCTCTCTCTCTGTTGTGTGTGTATATATTTTGCTCAGTTTCTCTCTCTGTACATCATTTGATAAAGTGCAATATAAAGAGACTTATAGGTGAACTAGAAGCCCACGGTATTAGAGGGACAGTGGCAGCGGATACAGAATCGGCTGGGAGACAGACAGCAGAGAGGGTGGGGAACGGCTGTTTTTCTGACTGGAGGGAAGTGTCCAGTGGTGACCCCGAGGGTCAGTATTGGGGCCACTGCTGTGTTTGATCTATATCTCTCTCTCAGTCTCTCTTTCACACGGTCACTCTCTCTCTGTGTATCTCTCTCTCAGTCACTCTCTCTCTGTGTATCTCTCTCAGTCACTCTCTCTCTGTGTATCTCTCTCAGTCACTCTCTCTCTGTGTATCTCTCTCTCAGTCTCTCTCTCAGTCACTCGCTCTCTGTGTATCTCTCTCTCTCTCTCTGTCACTCTCTCTGTGTATCTCTCTCTCAGTCACTCTCTCTGTGTATCTCTGTGTATCTCTCTTAGTCTCTCTCACAGTCACTCTTTCTCTCTCAATCTCTCTCTCTGTATCTCTCTTTCAGTCTCTCTCTCTCTGTGTATCTCTCTCTCTCTCTGTGCATCTCTTTTTCTCCGTTTCTCTCTGTGTATGTAGCTCTCTCTCTCTGTGCATATCTCTCTCTCAGTCTCTCTCTCTGCGTATCTCTCTCTGTCTCTCAGTCTCTCTCTGTCTATCTTTCTGTGAATCGCTCTCTCTGTCTCTCTCTATCGTTCTCAATCTCTCTCAGTCACTCTCTCCTTGTGTATCTCTCTCAGTCTCTCTCTCTCTCTCTCTTCATCACTCTCCCATGTGCATCTCTCTCTGTCTCTCGATGTGTGTATCTCTCTGTCTATCTCTCTGTGTATCTCTCTCTCAGTCTCCCTATGTGTGTATCTCTCTGTCTCTCTCTCCCCCCATCACTCTCTCCCTCTGTATCTCTCTCTCTCAATCTCTCTGTATTCCTCAGTCTCTGTTTCCCTCTCAGTCTCTCTCTGTCTGTAATCTGTATCTCGTAATATGTATCTCTCTCTCTCACAGTTTCTCTCTCTCTCCCACAGTCGCTATCTGTGTATCTCTCTCAGTCTCTCTCCCCCTGTGTATCGCTCTCTCAGTCACTCTCTCCCTGTGTATCTCCCCATCAGTCTCTCTCTCTCCCCCCATCATTCTCTCCCTCTGTATCTCTCTCTCTCTCTCTCTCTCAGTCTCTCTCTGTGTGTATCTCGCTCTCAGTTTCTCTCTCTCTCCCACAGTCGCTATCTGTGTATCTCTCTCAGTCTCTCTCCCTGTGTATCGCTCTCTCAGTCACTCTCTCCCTGTGTATCTCTCCATCAGTCTCTCTCTCTCTCACAGTCTCTCTGTCTCTCTCTCTGTTTATCTCTCTCAGTCTCTCTCTCTGTGTATATCTCTCTCTCAGTCTCTCTCTCTCTGTATCTCTCTCTCAGTCTCTCTCTGTGTATCTCTCTCTGAGTATCGCTCTCTCTCTCAGTCACTCTCTCCCTGTGTATCTCTCTCCGTTACTCTCTCCCTGTGTATCTCTCTCTCAGTCTCTCTTTCGCTCCCCATCACTCTCTCCCTGTGTATCTCTCAGTCTCTCTCTCTTTCTCTCTCTGTGTATCTCTCTCTCAGTCACTCTCTCTCTGTGTATCTCTCTCAGTTTCTCTCTCTGTGTGTCTCATTCTGTCTCTGTGTGTGTGTCTCTCTCTGCGTCTCTCTCTCTCAGTCTGTCTCTCTCTCTCTGTCACTCTTTCCCTGTATCTCTCTCTCGGTCTCTCTCAGTCGGTCTCTCTGTCTCTCTTTCTCGGTCTCTCTCTCTCTCTGTTGGTCGGTCTCTCTCTCTCTGTCGGTCTCTCTCTCTCTGTCTGGTCTCTCTCTCTCTGTCGGTCTCTCTCTTTGTCTCTCTGTTGGTCTCTCTCTCTCTGTCGGTCTCTCTCTCTCTGTCGGTCTCTCTCTCTCTCTCTCTCTGTCGGTCTCTCTCTCTCTCTCTCTCTGTCGGTCTCTCTCGCTCTATCTCTCTGTCGGTCTCTCTCTCTCTCTCTCTCTGTCGGTCTCTCTCGCTCTCTCTCTCTGTCGGTCTCTCTCGCTCTCTCTCTCTGTCGGTCTCTCTCTCTCTCTGTCGGTCTCTCTCTGTTGGTCTCTCTCTCTCTCTCTCTCTGTCGGTCTCTCTCGCTCTCTCTCTCTGTCGGTCTCTCTCTCTCTCTCTCACAGTCGGTCTCCCTCTCTCTCAGTTTGTCTCTCTCTCTCTGTCGGTCTCTCTCTCTCTTTCTCTGTCGGTCTCTCTCTCTCTCTCCAGTCGGTCTCTCTGTCTCTCTGTCGGTCCCTCTCTCTCTCAGTCTCTCTCTCTCTGTCTATCTCTCTCAGTCTCTCTCTCTCGGTATCTCTCTCAGTCGGTCTCTCTGTCTCTCTTTCTCGGTCTCTCTCTCTCTCTGTCGGTCTCTCTCTCTCTGTCGGTCTCTCTCTCTCTGTCGGTCTCTCTCTCTCTGTCGGTCTCTCTCTCTCTGTCGGTCTCTCTCTCTCTGTCGGTCTCTCTCTGTCTGTCGGTCTCTCTCTGTCTGTCGGTCTCTCTCTGTCTGTCGGTCTCTCTCTCTCTGTCGGTCTCTCTCTCTCTGTCGGTCTCTCTCTCTCTGTCGGTCTCTCTCTCTCTGTCGGTCTCTCTCTCTCTGTCGGTCTCTCTCTGTCTGTCGGTCTCTCTCTGTCTGTCGGTCTCTCTCTGTCTGTCGGTCTCTCTCTCTCTGTCGGTCTCTCTCTGTCGGTCTCTCTCAGTCTCTCTCTCTCTGTCAGTCTCTCTCTCTCTGTCGGTCTCTCTCTCTCACAGTCGGTCTCCCTCTCTCTCAGTTTGTCTCTCTCTCTCTGTCGGTCTCTCTCTCTCTGTCGGTCTCTCTCTCTCTT